CATGCATACCATCCTACTGATGCACCCAATCCCCTATCTCCCAAAAGAGAGCCTCGGTACGCCCCAGGACCTAGTGGGCCATTCCATGCACCAAGCCGAACCTCCCCGACCCCGACACACCAACTCCACGGGGCGAGCATAGCCTGCCGCTATAGTGTCATCTAGGCTGCTGCCAAGACCCGAACCACAGCAACTAACCCTGCCCAAAGTTGGAGAACAGAACACATGGCCAGAAACCCAGCCCCCTCCAGCAACCCGCCGGGTCTCACGACATCCCACCCCCACAACAGGCCCCATCAATATGACTGACGCGGCACTCTGCCACCACCACGCTCCACAGCTACTACATACTCTCAACCAGCGAACAGAACTTCCCGATCACCCGCATACCAAGCCAATCTCCGGTCCTGAAGGGCAGCTTACCCCAACCCAGCCCATCCAGAGACACCACAAAAACAACGAGACATCGTATCCCACACCGAACACAAAAACAAAGCATAGCCTGTTCTTCAACCCAGATTCACAGCGCCACTACTGACTCCGACCCGCACCGACAGCATTCCGAAACACAGCCTTCACTCCACCCCTCCAACCTTACACACGCACCCACGTGCAATCATAATATGTCAAATCCCAAAACAAGGAGGCAGTCCCGAATAAGAATAACCTCCTCCACTCTCACCCACCCCAGCACACCACAGGCCACCATCTACCAGCACTCGGCAACAGAACTAAAAACCGTGTCAATCACCACCACAAACCAAACACCAAACACCAAACAAACACAACAGACAATGAACATTAGGAAAACCACAAAACTCAGCAGACACAGACAATCAGAATATAACAACCAAAACAAGAGAAAACAACACCACCATAACCCCAGACCGACACCACACCCCACCACGAGAAAACGGACACAAACCAACATCCACCAACCACAAGGCAACAAAAAACGACAGAAGGAGCACCATATGCTGGAATCGATAACCAAGACGAATCACTGACCTGCAACAAACACTCAATGTAAACCAACCACGAACTACCTGCGACACACCACGAACAGCAACCCAAAACGCACTCCAGGACTACGACACAAGTTCTAAACCAACATAGAGCACAACATCGACCAACAACGTGTTATACACCAACACTCCCAACAATGCAAACGAATTCAATTCAGGAGAACTACATATACATTGGAAAGTCCAACCGACGGGTAAGATCAACAGAAAAAGAATCCCGAATTGAGATACACCCTCCACCACAATCAACACAACACAAAACACCACCACCACCCCATCCACCACACCCCACCACCCACCACCAACCACACCCCACCTACCGAGCAGAGAAACAAACAGACAAGACAAAGCCTACAAGAGATGTGGGATATACTCGAACAAACTACCACGACTCATAGGGCGCGATTTGTCCACACCGAAGGGGAAGACCAACACCCAACCACCCCCAGGGTGAAGCATCACTATCAAACGCATATAATACAAGGAAAATTTCCCAGGCCTTCGCTAAAAATTCGATATATCAGTTCTAGAAGCTCAAGGACCCCTGGTAATTCAATGCAAACCACCCACCACCAACACCACCACCACCCATCCACCCCACCATCCACCCCAGAAGGCAACGTCACGACATGCAGTCATCAGACTGACCAAATACAAACTAAAAACGAGCCTTCTAACCGTAAGAACGACACAAGGGACACCCCACTAAAACACAACGCGAAACAACCAGCCAATAACACCCATAACACACCAAATTCTTACATGAGACTCTACAAGACATGACAGCAGATCTGCGCCATTTCACACCCTTCTAAACACACATCAACCAACACTGCCCACAACCCTAACCACGACACATCTTTTTCCCTGCAAAACTACACCTATCTACCATATACGAAACGACAGAAAAAGAACATTCTTCAGACACAGCAAAGCTCAGAGAAATCTCACCAAGACACCGACCAAACCGCCCTACAAGATACTCACAGTGTTAATGCACAGAACCACCATAATAAAAAACTCACGAATATAAAACAACCAAAACCCAAAGATTAAAGGCAGAAATGCATGACTCAAGAGAGAACAAAGCAACAAACATCAACCCACAGAATAACAGTAATCTACCTTACCTATCAAGTTCTCTCAATAAATGTGAAGGCTCAAACTCTCCACTCAAAAGAGATATAGCTGGTTAAATGATAAAAATACAGGCCAAAGTACTATGCTGTCTTCAGGACACAAGATAACCTGCAAGGATGCATTAGACTAAGTAAAAGGTGGAGATCACTTATACAGGCAGTCTGGAACAAGAAGCCTGGCGTGTCAGTTCTAGATATTAGATGATTTAGTTTTTTAAAAACCCACAAAAGTAGTGAAAGACAAAGAGGGTCATTATATAATGGTAAGGACACACTTCAAAAAGAAAATAAAACACTTAACTCTTACTACACTCACACCCACCCTAGCAACCCGAATTACAATGCACACACAGTTTAAAAGCAACTTACTGATCTAAGCAAATGGATTTATAGCAACCATAATCACCGGAGATTTCAACACCCCACTGACGGCACAAGACAGAAACCTCCAAACAAAAATTAATAAAGAATAGGACTTAAACAAATACCCTGGAACAACTGGTCTGACTGACATCTACAGGACATTCTACCCAAAATCACACTGAAATATACGTTCTTCTCATCAGCTCACGGGACAACACTCTCTACAATTGACCATCACACACTCCAGGGACACACCAACAACACCACAAATCTCAGAAATTAAAAAACAGAATCCATAACCCAATGTAACCCATACACCCTTCTCCAGATCACAGTGAAACTAAAACCCTACAACATCACCTAACAGAATCACCACTTCATTACACACAAAAACGTGAAAAACTAAACACCTCCCTAATTGATTACTCATAAATGAAGAAATCAAGATGGAATTAAAAATCTCTAACCACCCCTACATTCTGGTTGGACAACGCAAATAGTTACCTCTGTGGAAGCACATCATCAGGAGATAACCTTAAAGCGATACAAGTGAATCTAACCATTTGATCCGCATCCAATTGCTGGCATCTACCAAAAGATCCAATGACACTCTAGCAAAAAAACACCTGCACTTGAATTTGATAGCAGCACAATTCATAATGCAAGGCTGTGGAAACAGCCCAATGCCCATCAATCCAAGAAAATGGATTAATAAATGTGGTATAAGTATACAATGTACCATGGTGATATAGCACATCTTATATTTTCCTGGTTAGAGCTGGAACCCATACTATTAAGTGAAGTTTCTCAAGAATGGAAAAACAAGCACCACATATACTCACCAGCAAATTAGTATTAACTGAATAGCACCTAAGTGGTCACATAGGTACTGCAGTAATAGGGTATTGGACGGGGGGAGGGGGGCAGGTATATACATATATAATGAGTGAGATGTCCACTATCTGGGAGATGGTCATGCTGGAGACTCAGACTTGTGGGGGGAGGGAAATGGGCATTTATTGAAACCTTACAATCTGTACCCCCATAATATGCCGAAATAAAAAAAAATACTGATTCAGTGACAGGAATAAAAGGGGAAAATGCAGAAAATAATCTCATTTTTAAACTGAATTTTTGTAAGTTATATAAAGTCACTGTTGAAAATATGGTATGATACATACTGACATATATTTATTTTAAAAGGAAGGTTAATGGCATGCATTCAGGGTATCTTTACAAAGAAGATTCACTGCATTAGTGTTGGTTTTGGTACAAGGGTCAGCAAATTAGTGTGTTGGGGCCAAGTCAAACCCACTGCCTGTTTTTGTAAGTAAAATTTAACTGGGACACCACCATGTCTATTCATTTACCATCTATAACAGTTAGTGGACTACGAGAACAGAGACCCTGTGGTTCAAAAAGCCTAAAACATTTACTATCTGGCTTTCTACAGAAAGAGTTGGCCAACACCTGGTTAGTAGATTAAATATGCTCTGATGTACTTTAGTAAGTTTTACCCAAAATATGGTAATGTTTATATGGGATATGGATATGCAATCCCTTGGCAATATTTGGATTAATTAATGTGAGGATCCAACAGGTGAGCACTCATGCATTGAGAACAAAAACCCAACAATTGAATAACTAGTAATTTTGTTGGGAACAAGGTAGAGTTGCAATGTAGCATGCAGCTTCCTTTTGAACCTCAGCAGGTAATTATAAGAATTCTAACACAATTTGCTTCAGTTGTATCATCAAATTAAATGCTTTAAATATCTGTCAATTGTGAAATAATTAGTACACTACAGATATAACCTCATTGTTTAAATGGTTGCATATGACATTATATGGATATGACAATGTAACTATTTCCTTATTGATGGGTATTTAGACTATCTCGAAGTTTTTGACACGATGATGTCACAGTAACTATCTTTAATATACATATACATGTATATATGCAATACACTTGTATAAATATTCCAAACACAACTATATATCTTTTAACAAAGGCTATTTATTTTATGTATATATTGGCTTATTGCATGTTATATATAATATAGAATAAATGTCCTTAACTTGTATGTTTTTATGTGTGTTTCTACAAGTCATGTTTTCCTGTAGCATCCAGTCCCAGATCCTAAGTTTCTGGTAGGCTTAAAGGAGTGACATATTTGAAATGTTGGTACATTAAATTATGCTTCAAAAAGCATTTGTCAATTTTATTTACCAACAGTATATGAAAATGTATTTTCCTCACATTTGCCAATACTGCTAATCTTTTTTTAATAAAATGCCAGTATGACTGGAAAATATGTTATCTCATTACTAATGTGCATTTTTCTGATCACCAAGTGAGGCTGAATATACCTACGAAAAGCATAAAATTTGTTAATCATGAATATTAGTCCAATTAGAATTAATTTTATCATGCAATAAAATTATTTACTGCTAGACACTGCTACAGGCTTACCTATCACACACTTCATTCTCCATCCTAGGAAATTGCCAACTGTCAGTATTTCCACTCTTTCTTTCTTGAAGTAATGCTTCATCATCACTGTCATCAGCAGCAGCATCATAAAGATTTTCTGATACTGCCATTTTATTGCTTTTGTGATTCTCCCTTTCTTCAACCTTTAATGAAAGTTTGATAGTAAGAATAATTGTTATTAGCTTATCAATAAAAATAACATTTTCTCTTTTCATTGATTTTTATCACTTGACTCACCTTGTCATATTTTTAATCATTAAATATTTTGTGCTTACTGTAATTTTATTATTGGACATAGTTATCATATAATTATATTATAGTATTATTGACATTTTTGTAAAGTTGGCTTCATTTCTGTGTGAGTGAATGAAACAAAATTTTCCCAAATTTCTAAAAGGACCCTTCTTAACTTTTTGCTGTTACTCACATCCACTCTTCTCTGGCTAATAGGAATTTCCAACCCCACTTGACTGGCAGAAACAGAAAGAAAAAGGCAAAGACATAAAACATGTCTTCTTCTGTCTTATCACCTGGACTTTACATTAAATAGCCAGATTTAGAGGATGCAGCATTGTAAGGCTTCAGGAACAGAAAGGAAACTTTCCTTTTTCTGCACCAAGTGAACCTTTTGCCCACTGCCTTTTATCATTATTTTTTTGATTTGGATAGAGAAATATCAAAAGATGAAGATGAAGAGACTAACAAATATGTAGGAACCAAGTCTGTCACCAAACAAGGAGCAGAGAGCAACTGCTCAGTTGCTGGTGTGCAATTCTGAAAAATGAGATGCTTCCCAAATTTCACATTCAATAACCATATAATTTTATAGCTGGAGGATGTACAATATAAGTAATTATCTACTTTAGTTCCATTATCTACTGATAATTGGATTAAAATCTAGAAAGATTAGAGTCATTCAAAGCTCCTAAAGTGGCACTACCTAGCATTTTATGGCAAAAAAGAGATGATGCCATTGCATTATGCTTAATCAGATAAATTACCCGATTAAACTACTCAAACTAGTCAGAAAAATTAACTGTCTGACTTTGGCAAAATAACTAAATGCCTTAGTTGGAGGGCAGGCCTCGTCTGCAGTGACATTTAAAAAAGAATATCTCTAGATTTTTGTCTAGCTTTTTTTCCTCTAACTCAACATACAGAACTCACCTTTCCACTTTGGAGTCAATTACTATATTATTGAGTGGGGATTTTTCTACTTACATGATAAAATCTTACTTGTCAAATCTTATACCCTATTAGCAATATAATGTAAATGTCTGATTCAACAAACATTTGAGAGTGGTGATTTTAAAAACTATGTGGGAGGATATATATTTCTAGTCAATAATATTTAAAGTGGCCATGGTGGAATTTTAAGTTCCAACAGTTTGAATCAAACAGATGAACCTTTCACACATAAAAGCACATTAAACAGATTTATTTGGCTGCACATATTTGTTGCAACTCTCAAGGTTAGACACAAATTTATCTCTTCTCAGTCACTGCTTCCTTCCCATTGTATTTTCATTTTATTGTTCAAATAAATGCAATTCATCTTTAAGTCACTAGAGGGTAAAAAAAAAAACCCTAGATCTTATTATGTACTTTTATTAACTTATTTTACACGTATTCTTGTTCAGAAGATTATGTAGTATATGAATAAATTAGTATCCCAGTCCTTATGTCACTTGGAAGACAGATGATAGAGAAACTTAGGTTGATTAAGGAATAATGATTATGAAAAAGTTATTCTGAACTCCTATAATTTAGATAACAGACATAATCTATTTCTATATGCAATTACATCTTTAGATAACTCCATTTTATCTATGAGCTTTTTATAAGTAGAAAATCAGAACGGACTGGGTAATTGATGAAGAGAAAATAGAAAGAGTAGCACTTCATTACTTTTTTCTAAAGATTACTAACTGTGGAGTACAACACTTTAAATTATTAGGATCCAAAATCAACACACCAATTAGAAAGAAAAGCAATTTCTTAAATTTTAATTCAAATTATATACCATAATAGAATAATGTCATGAATCTAGATGGACTATATGCTTAAGACTAGTTCTCATATAGTCTTTTTAGAGAAGTCTCAGAGACAGGGCTGAGATCAGATGTGGGGGCTTGCAGAGTCCATGCAGGTGTTAAAGTAAATAACCCTTAGGCAGAGGGGCTGTTAACCACAGGCAAGAAGTAGCTTCAACTAGCTTGTCATTATTATTTCTGACATTTTACATGAACTTTAGCCAATTATTATATCACTTACATAAAGTTTTAAAATTGTTCCACCCTTGAAATCACCATGACAGCTCAAAGACAACCACATATAGTATTAAAATGAGAGCAAACCCAATTTTAGGAATTACTACCCAAATTCTTAGCCAAAGTCAGCCCCTTAGCCATGAAAATTCTTCCCCTCAATTAGTAAGACTTCAAAACACCAAAATCTGCTTCCTCCTGATGCTGATGCTCTTTTCAAGCTTGCCCACTCTCTTACTCTTGACAGTGCACTGTTGCTTTCAATCATTCAATAAAAAGCTTCTTGCTTGACTTACATGGTCCATCCTGAAATTCTTTTCCTCAATAACACCAAGAACTTGGAAAAAAGTTCTAGTGGCCTCCACTCAGAGGCCACTAACAGTCTAAGGTCTACAAATAACAGTGAATTTAAAAATGTAATAATATTTCATGATTTCCCACATTAAAAAAGTTGGAAAATTCTTTTTATGCTAACACAAAAAGTCTCCTTCTTAAAGGTATGATTCTCTTAATAGACAGTAGAGATGACTTTATGACCCTATTCTCACCCTGGACACAGACAATGAAGTCAATTAGAGACCACAAGGCAAAATAAAACTTTAATCGTGGCATTAATGACTGATAACATAAAACTGAAGATTCTGAACCACTGGCAATTCCTTTGACATGAATCCAATTCAGTGGTCATCACTCTTAAATTACTCATAATTTCTATTGCTTATAATTCAATATTTGATGTCACCCTCTTTATCATGTGAGGAGGTTATAAAAATGGAAGAGCAAACAAAATTCTGAAAAACATATGTCTCAATTCCAAGGTAAACATTAGCCATAAGTTTCTAGAGATTCTAAGAATATTTTAAGTTTTATAACTACTTTAAATGGGGGTTGGGAAACTCGTAACTAATGTATGCGGAGCGCACTGTGTGGGGGATGGGCACACTTGTAGCTCTGGCTTGGGAAATGCAAAGGCATTATATGTGACCAAAATGTTTGTACCCTTATAATATTCTGAAATTTTTTTAAGAAAATAAATAAATAAATGGTAAAAATAAATAAAATTATAAAATAGTAAACGAGTATCTATTTGTTCTAACAGGCTAGTGCAAAATTATGTTATTAAAATAAAGAAAATGACGTTAAACCTGAAATTTAAATTTAAATCTTTACATACCTGTGGCTGGTTATTTTCACTTTCTTCATGCCTCTCTTGCTCATTCTCTGATGTCACTTCCAGGTCTTCTTCTGCTAACAAATCCATACATTTAATTAAAATGGATTACTTAGAAGAGTGAGGTAAAAGACAGTCTTTATAGAAATAGATAGAAAATAACATTTTTATTTTATACATTGAGAGTTTAAATGAAGCTAAATCTATGATGGAATGCTTACTTCTTTAAGAAATAATTCTAATTAAAAAAAAAAAAAAAACTTCAACAGACCACTTGGGGAAACGCCAAATGTCACCTGGTCCCAGGCACACAACATCTCAAAGATGCACTCACAAATTCTATTAACTATTAGCCATTTCTGTTAACTGAATGGAAAAGTGGACATAGATCTCTGTGAACATGCTGACTGATGAGGGGAAAAGTGATCATCAATCAGCGGAGAAAATCATGATCCTGACTGAGAGGATATCCTCCATGAGAGGATAACCATCAAAGTTGATGGTAGAATGCTACAGCATATCTGTAACGCAACCCAGCAGAATCATTTATACAATTATACTGTAATTATTTATCATGTTCTTCAATTCATCCTGTGATTTAGGAAGTACAGAGTTACAATGCAGTTCAGTTGAGAGTATAATTCATCTCTCATCAGAAAAACTATTCTGAATTGATCATTGGATTCATTTACGGAACACTACTTAATGAAAATATTCATCTTTTTCATTCGTTATATGGGCTATTGGTATGCCTACATTTCTTGCATCCTCTGGGTTAATCATCTTAAACTTTCTTAATATGCTCATGCAAGAAGCCACAATAACACATCTAAGAAAAAATGTATAATAAGTTTTCAATATTGAAATAACAATTTTAATATTCAAGGAATGAATTCTGTAATTTTTTCTCTTTCTAAAATTAGTTTGTTTACTGTATAGTCTTTAAAAGACTTTTATGAAACAATTACCTTACCAGAAATTTAGCTATCTTAAAAAAGCAGCTGATGCTTCTATATCCAAATTAATCTCATTTGATTAACTAATAATAATCCAACATGTATATTTGTTGTCTTACAGTTATGGGGAGGAAAAATAAGTTAATATTGTTCACCCCAATTCTACCACTCCTTCCTGCTTCCAGTAACCTTCAGAGCAGCAATAATCTAAGCTTCTGTTTTAAGTGTGAATATACTGAAGTCTTCTGAGGTCCTCTCAAGTTTCCTCATCAACTCCAAAATCCCCTTCCTAATTCCTTTCTTTCCTCCCTCCTTCACCCCTCACAATCCTTCTTCCTTCACAACAGTCATCTCTAGATCTGTGGTCCTTACTCTACCCCTTTTACATTTTTTGATGTATTATTCCTACCACATCTTTTCTCTTTATTTAGCAGTAGTATCTTACATCTCTAATTTCTCCTTCTCATCAGTTTGTTCCTTCCCCTCTGGCTACAAACATTCTCAGAAATGGTAACAAAATAATGCTTTCCCCTGATCCTGTAAAATTGTTATCTAATGGCTCTTCTTCCAGATTTCTCTAGAAGGAAGTTTATACCCAAGGACCAATAGCACCAGCATCAGCTCAGAACTTATTAGAAATGCAAAATCCCAGACCTGCTAACTCAGAATGTACATTTTTAACAAGGTCCCCAGCTAACTGATGAAAGTTAGAGATGCTCTGGTCTATACTGAGTGTGCTTCCACATTCCTCTACCTGAACTGACCCTTTAGAAATCTAGCCTCAAGTTCCTCCCTATCATGTCCCCCAAACTGAAACTGCCTTACAAGTCATAACATTTCTAATGGGCTGTTTATCAGCCTCTATCTTCCCTAATCTCTCCGTAACTGACCCTACTCTCTTCTTATTTCCAATGCTTTTATCTTTAGCAGTACTAATTCTATCTTATAAAGTAAGAACATTTCAAACCACACAAAATTATACACATGTACGGCTGACCATATATGCTTGTATTACTCTATGGCAGAGAAAATATAGTTCTGCAGGTTTAGGTACCTCAGTCCTTAATGCCTTCCCAACAGTGAGGGAGATAAGAAGAGTGAGAAGTGTTTGCTATACTTCTCTGACACATTCTGGTATTGGAAGCTCATTTTATATGCTTTCCGCCTTTCTAATACTCTGCTCTTCCTTTTTCTGAAGAATTATTTTAGTTGACCACCTTCTATTATACATGCCTGCTTCTTGATGCTTGATGATATTCTTTGTATTTTAGAATATATCAGTGTACATGTTTTTAAATAAACAGTCTGTTAAATGACTTTCTTTTAATACAATATGGTTCTTACCTTCTTGTCCATTTATCATATATTTTTGTTTGTGAACTGCAGCCCCACGTAAATCACCACTATCCTTCTGTGGGAGATTCGTGGAGATACTCTGTTAAAATTAATATCAATATAATGAGTTTTAATTAAATTATAAAAGTAATTCCATCAAGATTCCCTAATCACATTCTTAAAAATATCTGAATTTCCTATTTTAAAAGCAATTAGACTTACAAATGAGAGAAGCATGTATTGAAAACCAAAACATTTAAATAGGGAACCTCACATATGTTATCTAGATCAAGCTTACCTTTTATCTATCTATGGCTATTGACTCTGAAAACCACGAATGGATGAGAAAGGGAATATATTCACAGACAAAATATTAATGGGTATGCACATTTCAACAAGGAAGTAACTACAAAACACCTAACTGTACTTTGCAATCCCCACAAAAAATAAGAGTACTTTTAAAAATATATATATAATACACTTACTAAAATAATTACATAATCAAATATTTAGAATAATTTTAACTATAGAAATTTTTAGTGTTAAAATAAGATAATTGGTATGATAAGAAACATCAGAGTATGTCAAGTTCAGGAAGAATAGCACATTTAACAAGCTGCATCTTTGAAGCAAGAGCTTGCAAGTATCTAAATATTTTTTAATAAAATGTTTGCTGATAGTATAAATGGATGAATAAAATGATGGAGTATTAAGTATAAAACATATCTTTATGTCATATTTCAATAAAACCAAGCAAATGTTAGAGATGTACAAGGTAAAGCAATCAAACATTAGAGATGTAGAAAGTAAAAAATATGTAACTCTTTCCCAATTAAAAAATAAAAACTTCAAGAATATTTATTCCTAAAGCATCTAAAAGGTCCTGGACACTTATTTGCACATTTTTCTATACTTAATAAAAATGAATAGGATGGTGGTTATCCCACTTCCTCCTTCGTGGTCATTCCAGGATGTTAAAGGTAAAATGAAGAGATGTGATCCACTGATCTCTCCGTCTACAATGTCCTCCCCCTAGACTTTCACATGGCTGTCTTTCTCTAGTCATGTGAAAGTGGGCAATGTGAATGTCACCCTCAGAAAGATCTTCTCTGACTACAGAATTCTATCCCTATTTCCATCCCCATCCTAACTACAAACTACCTAATATTTTCTAACCAGTCTCTGTTTTCTTTATATGCAGAACTTATAATGACCTATAGGTCTTTGTTGTTTACTTGTTTTTCTGTTCCTACTCCTATAGCATATTCCCTCAACTTGTATGTTCAGTGTCTTACTATCCAGCATGTAGTTGGTACTCAGTAACCAACAATTAAGCAAGGTCAAAACATTTAAAATCCCATCAGGGAGGTCTCATGCATCAAATCACTATATTCCTATAGAACATCTCTAGTAATAGTCTGCTGAAACTTAACCCAAATTAGGAATCCATATGCGTGTTATAACTTCCATTCTTTTCTTAGCACTACTGCTTTCTGGTTTGCAAAAAGTATTTCAATGTTTTATAAGTCAGTGAATATCAGTGTAATCATTTGGTCCTCCATTTGCATAAACACTCTCCAGTTTACAGAATATTTTCACATTTCTTACCACATTTGTTCATTACACATACTTAAGGAATAGATGTCAGTACCATGTTTATGAAGAAGGTCACTGATATCTGAATATCAGTGATATCTGAATATCCGATATATCAGATAAATCTTTTTTTTCAAGATTCCATGGCTAGTAAGTGACAGTACCAGGACACTAACATGCCTTCTGGCTTCCACTCAGTGCTGGTACCACTGTGCAGCAGCTCTTTTATCATCAGACCCTTCTCATCTCTTGCTACAGTTGTCACCTTAATGTGCAGTGTCATTATTTTTTACTTACACTGATGCAAACATGGATGCCACAAAAATACTCAATGTGCTCTCTCTTTAAAAATGAATTCTACTTATTAAAACACCACTAAACCAAACTGTTGTTACTATAGTCCTACACATTTATTGTTCCCATACTTTTCCTTCTCCTGAAATGTTGCTTGCAGATCTATCCTTGACAACCCAACTAACACCTTCAGGTTGCAGACATTGTTTTTAAGTCTCAAGTTGGAAAAGACAATAGTACAAATGGTTTCTGAGTATCATTAGGACTTTTACATATCCAGATATACCATACAAAACGGTTCTTTGATCATACGTTGACCTGCAGTAATTCTTTTGTTGTAGATAAACATACCTTCAGAAACCAAACTGATTCCTTTTCTAAGTCTTATTTTTTTATGCTATAATATAGTAGCTTCTTAAATGAATCCCACAAGTGAGTAGAATTGTATTATGCAATAATAACCAATTTGTTAATTATGAGCTGAAAATATAAGAAAATAATTCTTTAGGGCCATATGCAGAGGTGAGAACATAAAGTCAAAACACATCCTTTTAGGTTCTAATGTCATTTGATACTTATATTTTAAAATAACAACAATAGACAGTACCTCCAAATCCTGAGGTGATCCTGCATCTTCATTTTTTCCAGACCCAAATGCAGACATCTTGTCTATAAAATGTTATTCACAGATACATACATCAGAACATTTTTATTATAAATTTAAAATACATATACAAGTCTATCACCATTCATTTTTATTTTAATAAAATAAAATTAATAGCAAAATAATTTTAAGGTTAAACCAATTTTAGGAAGAAAAATTAGACAGTATGAAGAAAGACAGCAAAAGAAAAGTATTTAAAAGAAATGGATAATATATTTGGGTCTACATACTTAAAATGTTAATTTCATGATGGCATTTAAGGATCAAAAATTGTCAGAGATATTCACTAACTTACCACTTCTGTTATTTTTGTTCACACAAATAAAATTGACATTATCTTTTTGCTCTCGTGGAGCATTTTCAATAATACCAATACCATGTTCCTTTTGTCCAGATTCTGGCTTTGTTGCTCCATCCTATTTAAAAAATAAAATCCCAACTTCAGAAAACATTTCATTTATTCACTCACTCAGTCTGTAAGACAATAAAGGTTAACTCTGTCTAACAAATCATAGGCACTATCCTGGCAGATAGTATAAATATAAATAATATAAATATATTGATATTTATAATGATAAAATAAATAGAAGGTAGATTCTGCCCTAGATTCAAGAGGATGTTGGGATGTATGAAAAGAAAGACAGAAGAGAATAATTCACTGCTTCTACAATTAAAATGAATAAAGGACAGTAAGAGCACAAAGGAGAGAACAGTGAGTTCTACCTGGGAAGGTCAGGAAATGCTACAAAGATATATGGCCATATTATCAAAGATACACAAAATGCTGAGAAAGGTCATGAAGGGTTTCTAGACAGGGCAGTGTGAAAGAAAGAATGAGTATTTGTAAAATATATGAAAATGGTAAAATTAAATAACGAAAACTTATACAGGCCTCTGAAATTTTGAAAATGAAAACAGAAAAAAAAATATGATTTAATTTTTTCAACTATACCTTTTAAAATTTGAAGACTGTGAGATATAATAATATTAATAGATGAAAATATTTATTTCTTGAATGTTACAATAATATGCATTTTTAAACTGTATAAAAAGATTTAATTCTAAAGCACCAATTCAAGATGCTGCAAAAAGACCATTTTTAAAATTAATCTTAATTTCCATCTGGATCTCTTCTTTGACCCAGTAATCATTCAGCAATAGACTGTTTAATTTCCATGACTTTGTGAAGCGGTGAGTGCTTCTGTTGGAATTGATCTCTAGGTTTGACATCATTATTATCTGATGAGATACACAGTAAAATTTCTGTTTTTTAAAATTTGTTGAGGTCTGATTTGTGGCCTAGGATGTGATTGATTTTGGAGAAAGCTCATCCATGAGCTGATGAGAAGAGTGTATATTCAGCTTTACTTTTGGGTGGAACGTTCTGTAAACGTATGTTAGACCCATTTGTTCTAGAGTTTTGTTTAAGTCCATTATTTCTTTGCTGATTTTTTGTTTGGAGGATCTGCCCAATTCATCAGCGGGGTGTTGAAATGACCCTGCCGAAATGACCCCTGTGTCATTACTCTTTATCATGCTATTTAGATCAAACAGGGCTTGTTTTATGTGTCTGGGTGCTACTGTGTTGGTGCATAGATATTAAGAATTTTTAAGTCTTCTTGTTGGATTTTTCCTTTTACCATTATTTTGTGACCATCTTTCTCTTGCTATTTTAAAATTTATGCTGTCTGAAATCAGAATTGCCATACCCCACTCTCTTTTGGTTTCCATTTGCTTGGAAGTTTGTTTTCCAACCCTTGACCTTGAGTCTGAAAACATGTTCAAACTTTACTACAAGTCTATGGTAACCAAAACAGCATGGTAATGGCACAAGAACAGAGATATAGACCTTTGGAATAGGACAGAGATCCCAGATATAAACCATCCTCATATTGTCATCTAATCCTCCACAAAGCAGATAAACGTTTACATTGGGGAAAACAATCTCTATTCAATAAGTGGTGCTGGCAAAACTGTATATCTATGTACAGAAGACTGAAACTGGATCCCCACCTCTCAACTCTTACAAAACTATAGATAACAGACTTAAACCTGAGGAATGAAACCTTAATAATTCTGGATGAAAATGTTGGGAAGACTCTTTTAGACATCTGTCTAGGTATGAGTGCAATGCGCACCATCTGAGGGATGGTCATGCTTGAAGCTCTGATTCAAGGAGGGAGAGGGAGAAGGGCAATATACATAACCTTAACATTTGTACCCCCATAATATGCTGCAATAAAAAAATAAATATTCAATAAATACAAAATTTAACCATAAAAAAAGAATTTATGAAGCATATCCCCAAAGCAATCATAGCAGCAATAAACAAATGGGACCTGATTGAATTAAAAAGCTTCTGCACAGCCAAGGAAACTATCATTAGAGCAAATAGACGATCTACAGAATGGGAGAATGTATTTACTTTCTACACATTCGATAAAGGGCTGATAACAAGAATCCATATAGAACTTAAGAAAATCAACAAGAAAAAAGTCAAACAGCCTTATCAATAAATGCACAAAGGGCATGAACAGAAAAGTTTCAAACAAAGACAGACTAATGGCCAGCAAACATATAAAAAAGTACTCAACATCTCTAATCATTAGGGAAATGCAAATCAAAACCACAATGTGGTATCACCTAATTCCAGTGAGAATGGCCTCTATCAAAAAGGCCCAAAATAACAAATGCTGGAGTGGATGTGGAGAGATTGAAATATTCATATATTGCTGGTGGGACTGCAAATTAGTACAACCCCTGTGGAAAGTAATTTGGAGATACCTCAAAGAGCTAAAAATGGAAATGCCATTTGATCCTGCAATCCTACTACTAGGCATCTATGCAAAGGAAGAAAAGACATTCTATAATAAAGACGTTTGTATTAGAATGTTTATAGCAGCACAATTCACAATTGCAAAGCTTGGAAACAACCCAAGTGCCCATCAATATGTGAGTGGATTAATAAAATGTGGTATATGTATATTATAGAATTCTACTCAACTACAAAAAAGAATGGTGATCTCACACCTCTTACATCATCCTGGATAGAGAGTGAACCCGTCCTTTGAAGTCAGGTATCAGAAGGATGGAAAAACATCCACCACATGTATTCGCCATCAAATTGATACTAACTGATCAACACAAAGGTGCTCACATGGTAGTAATACTCATTGGGTGCTGGTCAGGTTGGTGGGGGAGGGGCTGGGGGAGTAAACCCACAGCTAGTGGAAACAGGGTACACTGTATGGGGGAAGGACATACTTGTAGCCCTAGCTTGGGCGAGGCAAATACTTTTCATGTAACCAAAATGTTTGTAGACCCAAAATATCCTGAATATAAAAAATTAAAATAAAAAGAGAAATGAAACTAACTAAATTAATTAAAATTAATCTTAAAATTTTAAACTGCAGAAAAGAAATGCTTATGTGATGCAGAATTATGATGTATTTGTAAGTATTATGATCAAGTAAGAAATAAACATAAAACTCTCCATTAAATTTCACCTGGTTTTCTTACTCCCATGTAAGCAAGATACTAATAGCTCTAATTTCTTATTTCCATCATGTAGGATGGTAGTTAAAAATTGGAGAGAGCATCTATTATAAGGAAAATAAAACTATGTTTATCCATACTGAAGATTTAAGAATCTTCAAATACATCTGCAATTCTCAAACAGGCCCCAGAGTTCACATAAGGAATGGAGAGAGGACTACAAAATCAAGTCTACAGGATTTCTGAGTTTTGCAGATGAACAAAATTTATGTTCAAGATATAACAACTATGAATGCTAAAGTTAATAAAGCTTTCTAAGAATAATGTAAAATGTCCCCTATGCTGGAGATATTTTTAAAAGTAAAAATTCATCTTCCAGAGATGAATGTGTATACTCTGTTTGCAGTCACCTTCTTTATAATGCTATGATAATAAGTAGTTTATTCTAGAGAACAATAATTATGATTGTACTCATGTGATGTATACTATGTCCATTGTATTTAGAAATTATTGGCACAAGATAAATCACAGTATCTCCAGAAATAAATAATTGTTGCATTTATTTCTTCAAGAGGGTTGCAGCTCAAAATTTATGTTCTTATTTAATGAATACAGATTAAGAACCTTCTTTATATAACCAGAAATTTTAATTTTAATTAATAAAAAGATCAAACAAAATTTTTATTTGTTTCTCTCTATTTTCAAACAGATCTAAAATGACTGTAAAGATTATATCACACAGTAAGGTAAATTAAGTAAGTTATGGATATACAAATGACAAGTTAGAAATCTTGAGAAATGAAAGTCAAAAATTAATAATTCATAGTAATCAGATAAGGCCTAAAATATTATTTCACTTTGCATTATCTGGGAACACAGTTTTTACTCGATTAAATATGTTACTTTAATGATTTGCTAGATTAAATATATTAACTTAATATTTTTTTAAAAAATGAGGATTCTTTTTTTTCCTTTTTAAATACTTTTTAATTAAGCTATAGATGTACACATCTTGAAGGGACATAAGTTTTGATACACTCAGAATCTTATCAGTGTAACTGGGATATGCATCATGTTACATATTATTTGTTCTTAACAGCAGAATTATTTGAATTATTCTCTTGTAGCTATTTTTAAATGTAGGATATACTATACCCACCCTTAACTTTCCTTTTCATTTTTCATTAAAACCATCTATAAGTCATTTCAAAGAATTTCAGCCTCTTTTTCATTGCCTTTCTTTTCTTAATTTACATGAAAATAATTTCTAACATACCTTATAATACAGAGAGTTCCTGTTCTCTTTTAAGTCCACTATTTCTGTTGTCTTTTCATAATAATAACTGTCATCTTGACTCTCTTATTAAAACTTTGTATTTACCTTGCCCTTCCTCAAGGAATTCTTCCCCTTCATATTCCTCCTCATTTCCATATTTCTTGAGCTGTTTGTTCTTTGGGGTTGCTTCCTAATTCTTTCCTTCCACAATTTCTAACCTAAGAATTCTTTACTCCCCTCAACTTTTACAGATCTCAATCCTATACATTCTTCCTTTTGTTATTACATTCGTTTTCTATTATGGCCTTGAGAGGTCCATTTCTTTACAGTATTTTTGTCAGCATTATGAGAATGCAGGAGGGGTATACAAAAATACGGGGGAGAAATGTTTTTTAAATAATAACTTGCCTTTGTAAGACCACAGTTTTCCAATGACTGGAAGGAAGGTTTCTGATGAAGCTCAGGTGGTAGAAAGGAAGGATTTAAAAAGCCCTGGACTTCGGCTGATGTTGCAGGAACGCATTCAAACAAATCTTCATTTGGTTGATCAGAAATCTTGTCCTCAAACACGTTTTCATTATATGTTCTCACAGTAGCATATTTTGCTTCTACTGCAGTGAAAAGAAAGTAAAGAATATATAAAAATATTTGTAATGAAGAATCAGTGAATAACATAAGAATAGGTCATCTTTAAATAGCTTACAGTTTTTCCTGGATTGCTGAGAAGTGGTAGTTAAGTTTGTTAAGTTTGGTTCAGAAATATCCTAGAAACAAAAACAATAGCTTTAAGAATAACAAGTATCAAAATGATAAAATAATTGTAATATTCACTATTACTATATGACCTAACACATAAAAAAAGAGGTTTTAGAGTCACTCAGATGTAGATTCACCCCTCAATTCTGTCACTTACTAATCTACATCTTCTCATGGGGTGAAGATTATGAGGGATGATACAGATGTCCTCAAAATGTTACTCCCTTTACTCATAATTAATTATTCTACAAATGCTATATCCATTAGATTATATTCTTAACCAAAATAGCCTGGGACAAAAATGTACCTAGTCAGCTAATAGGATTATTAAAATTACTACCATTAAGATACTTAAAACAATCAATTTTGAGTTATATTGTGAAATGTGTTCGCATGATTTACATTTGGATGAATTATCTCTTGCCAGGGAAAATGTGAGAGTTTAGTTTTTAGTAATAAGTTATTTTAATGGGTCGGCTTTGCAAATATTATAAATCACTTCTATTATGTTTGTCAAAATGCTAAAGATAAATTATTGTATAGATTCAGGTTCTCCGAAGAAAGAGAAAAGAAAATAATAAACCTGTGGGGCAATGATTGATGAATGAAAGCCACAAAGAGCTACTCAGTAGAAAGCTGTAACTAAATACAATGACAGTGAAGACAGAGAGGCAATGACAGAATACATGAGGCAATGTATTCTGCAAGGAAAAATTTACACTAGGCTAAATCATTTTTGAAAGGTGGAGGAGGAGGAAGAAACAAACCAAAAGAGACATGGTCACTCAATCAAATATGTGATTAAACCAGGGAAGAAAGGGAAAACATTCTGTATGATAAGGTACCCGGAGAAATATAGGTATAAAACAGAGACTTTAGTTCAGAGTATATCCGTAATAAAACTGATAACTGATTAATATTTACTCTACAATCTATTTCTGTATATACTTCCATAGTAAAGAATTTATTTTTATTACCATAAAACAATGCATTAAATTATTGAAACCTGGAAGTTGTGACATTGTTGCTATAGAGATAAAAAATCAGAAACAAATATTCCATCACTTTTACTTGGAGGAAAAATTAGTAATCAAAATTACAAAAATTAATATATAGCTTAAGAAGATATTTTTTAATAGAACTTCGGTTGAAGATAAGAAACATTTAAGAAATTTTAATCTAAAATCCTAATCTAAACTTTTAGTTGGAGGATACTAGAAAAGATACTATTATTCTCTTTCCTTTTATGATATGTTTCTAATTTATTCCTTTTCATGAAATCTTTTCTCATGATAACTCTCCTGAAGTTATACATTCTAATTTTTAAAAGGGAATATAAATTTAAATTATGTTTTAAAATTTTAATAGATTTAATTATTAATTATATTATCAATATTGTATTACTTCTAACATTCCATTATAATGTTAACATTCTAACATTATTTTCCACTAAAATTCATTTATCTATTCATTTATTCACATTCAAAAATATTAAAATGCTTCTTACATGCAAGATTACATTTCCCATACTCCAGTACACACAAAAATGTTTCCTAACCACTAGTAGCTCAAAGTAATACAACAGCTACAAAAATGATTATTTAAATAACTAGGTAAAACATGGAGTGGATATAGGTAAGATGGCTGACTAGAAGCCAGATCATCTCAGAAAGAAGAGAAAGTTTCAGGTGAAATCACCGCCCAGAGGTGTAATTCTAAAGGAAGAGTGCCAGATCCTGCCAGACATAGCAAGGAAAGAAGTCACAGGGAAGAACAAGAAGGAACAAGATTTTAGCAGAGATCAACCCCCAGGGAATTAGGAGCTCCATGGAAAGGGTGTGTTTGTTTTTGCTCCTTTCATACCTCTGGCAGTCCTAAGGCTCCCAAACTGTTGGGTAGACTCTCTGCCCTCATGAGCCCCAGCACTGCTGCTGGCAGTGAACTGAGAGCTTCTAGAGAATACAGCACCAGGCTTCCAGCCCACTAAGGATCACTCCCACTTACCATAGACCCAAGATGAGGCAGCAGGTGTCATACTGTTTTTCCAGCCATTGTATGCCTTTGTCCTGCCCAGGGGGCTTCAGCACTTTAGATTTCTTGCCACTGGAACCCATACAAATATTCTCTAACACTCACTCAGATTGCAGTAGCCACAAGGCTCTGGTGGGTCTTGGGGGAACTGTGTGATCCCAGAGCTCGGACATACAGGGTGGGCTGCCTTCAAGTAAGAGGAGAGTGCATCCCATGCAGAGTGCACCTTGGGACAAAGAGGACCAGAGTGCCAGCTCTCCTCCATTCAGACTCCTCTCCCCTGACCCACAGCACTGGACCTGCTCTACAGAAAATGCTCAAAAGTGCTCAAAAATCAGAGAGTACAGTCAATAATCCACAATGTAAAAATAGTAGAAGTTAAAACTCACAATTCTTACAAAACAGTAAATCAAGGTAGAATACAAAGCTACCAGTAAAAATCAACATGACTTAAATAGTATCTCAATAATAATATTAACATTGAATGTAAACCTTCTAAATATCCCACTAAAAGATATTAATTGGTGGAATGGATAAAAAAAAAAACAAAACCCAAAAACATCATATCTCGTTGTTAGAGAGCTGCTGTTCCTCTTTGGGGGTGTGCTTTCCGTAAGTGCCCATCAATACATGAATGGATTACTAAAATGTGGTATATGTATACCATGAAGTACTATTCAGCTATAGGAAACAATAGTGATATAGCACTTCTTGTATTTTCCTGGATAGAGCTGGAACCCATTCTACTAAGTGAAGTATTTCAAAAATGGAAAAATAAGTACCACAGGTACTCACCATCAATTGGTTTTACTGATCAACACCTTAAGCGCACATATAGGAATAACATTTATTGAGCATTGGGCAGATGGGAGGAGGGAGGAAGGGATGGGTATATACATACATAATGAGTGTGAAGTGCACCATCTGGGGTATGGACATGCTTGAAGCTCTGACTTGGTGGGGAGGGGCAGGCAAGGGCAATATACATAACCTAAACATTTGTACCCCCATAATATGCTGAAATTAAAAAAATCCATCTCCAAAAAATCCATTTAATTCATAAAAATTCTCATAGAGTCAAAGTAAAGGTCTGGAAAAAAAATATTCCATGCAAATAGATGTAAAAAGCAAGCAGGAGTAGTTAATCTTATGCCTGGTAAAATAGACCTTAAAACAACAACAATAACAATAAAAAGATCATCATTATATAATGATCAAGGGATCAATTCAACAAGAAGATTTAACAAATCTAAATATGTATGTACCTAACATCAGAGCTCCCAGATTCATAAAACAAATACTACTGTACCTAAGAAAACAAATAAGTAAATATGAGCATAATTGTGGTGGGGGACCCTAACACTCTACGGACAGAACTAGATAGATCATTGAGGCAGAAAATCAACAGGGAAACAATGGACTTAAGATGGCAGAACACACACACCTAAGAGACATTTGCAGAATATTCTCCCAAAAAACTTCAGAATGAACATTCTTCTCATCAGCACATGGAAAATTCTCCAAGATAGAACATATTCTAAGCCACAAAACACATCTCAGAAAAATTTTTAAAAGATCATACCATGTATTTATTTTCTCAGACTACAGTGGAATAAAATGAGAAATAATTCCAAGAAGAACTCCCAAAATTGCAAAAATATACAGAAATTAAACCACTTTTGGCTAACTGATCTTTGGGCCAAAGAAGAAAACAAAAGAGAAGTGAAAAATGTTTTTCAATTGAATGGTAATGGCAATAAAAGTTATAAAATTTTCTAAAGTGTAGAAAAAGTAGTAACAAGAGGGAAGTTTATACCACTACCTGTCTACCCGAGAAAGATAACAAATTAATAACTCAATATCACACCCGAAGAAACTAGAAAAATGAGAACAAACCAATGCCATATTTAGCAGAAGAGAAGAAATAACAAATATCTAAGCAGAACTAAACAAAAGTGAAACCAAAAAGAAAATACGAAGTGTCAATAAAATGAAAAATTTGTTCCTTGAAAAGATAAAACCATTGACAGACCAGTAGCCAGATTAGCCAATAGAGATGATTCAAATAAACTCAATCCAAAATCGAAAAGAAGACATTACAACAGATACCCCAGAAATACAAAAGAAAATCTCAGACTACTTACAAACACCTCTATGCACACCTATAGAACATCTAGAGGAAATAGATACATTTTTTGGAAACACACAAACTCCCCTGCTTGAATCAGGAAGAAACAGAAATCCTGGAAAGACCAATAATGAATAACAACATTGAATCATTAACAAGAAATCTCCCATGGATTTTTAAAAGCCCAGGATGAGATGGATTCACAGACAAATTTTACAAGACCTACAGAAAAGAACTGGTACCTATCCTACTGAAATTGTTCTATAACATGGAACAGGAGGGAATCCTCCTTTACTCACTGGGCAAAACCAGTATCACCCTGATACCACAGCCAGGTGAGCACACAACAACAAAAAAAGAAAACTATAGGTCAATATCCTTGAAGAAAACAGATTTTTAAAAATCCTCAAAAACAAACAAACAAACAACAACAAAAACGTAGCAAACCAATCAAAAAACACTTCAAAAATGTAATTCACCATGATCAAGTGGGTTTCATCTGAGGGATGCAAAGGTGGTTCAACATACAAAAGTCAGTAACTGTGATCCACCACATAAATAGAATTAAAAACAAAAACCATATCATAATCTCAATAGATACAGAAAAAGCATCCAACAAAATCCAACACTCCTTCATGACAAAAACCCCAAGACACTAGGCATAGGAAGAACATGCCTCAAAATAATGAAAGCTGTCTATAAAAAACTCACTGCCAACATCATACTGAATAGGGAACATCCGAAAGCATTCCCTGTTAAGAACTGGAATGGACAAGGACATCCACTTTCACCACTTCTATTTAACACACTACTGGAAGTCCTAGCCAGAACAATCAGGAAAAATAAAGAGATAAAGAGCATTCAAATTAGAAAAAATTGAAGTCAAACTATCCCTGTTTGTTGATGATATGATCTTATACAAAGAAAAACATAAAGACTGCTCCAATACATTCCTAAAATTGGTAAAGTCTCAGGTTACAAATTCAATGTACACACATCAGTATTTCTATGCAGTAATAACAAACAAGGTAAGAATCTTATCAGCAACTCAATATGATTTATTATAGCTTCAAAATAAATGAAAAATATATAAATAATCTGGAAATATACTTAACCAAGATTGTGAATCATGTCTATAAAAAGAACTACAAAACACTAATTTAAAAATATCCTAGATGACACAATTGGAAAAGTATCTCATGATTATGGATTAGAAGAATAATATTGTGAAAGTGTCCATATTGCCAAAGTAATCTACAGGTTCAACGCAATTCATACCAAAACACCCACATCACTTTTTTCACACAATTAGAAAAAATAAACCAAAAATTCATATGATACCAGAAAAGAGTACAAATAGCCAAAGGAATGTTAAGGAAAAAAAGAAATCAGAAGGCATCACGTTACATGATATTAAATTATACTATAAGGAAATATTAACCAATACAGCACACTACTAATATAAAAGTAGATACATAAACCAATAGAACAAAATGGAGAACCCAGAAATAAAGCCAAATACCTACAACCAACTGATCATTCACCAAGCAGACAAAAGCATAAACTGCCGAAAGGATATCCTATTCAATAAATAGTGCTAGGAAAATTGGATATTCGTATACAGAAGAAGGAAACTTGATTCCAATCTCTCACCATATACAAAAATAAAGTTAAGATGGATTGAAGACTTAAATGTAAAAACTGAAACCATAAAAAAATTTTAGAAAAAAATACTAGGAAAAACTATCCTCAACATTGGCCTAGGTAAAGAATTCATACCTCAGACCCAAAAAGCAAATACAATAAAATCAAAAATAAATAAATGGAAATTAATTAAATTAAAATGTTGTTACATAGCAACAGATGTAATCAACAGAGTAAATAGACAACCTACAAAAAATATTCACAAGCTACGTATCTGAAAAAGGCCTAATATCCAGACTCTATAAATAACTCAAATAAATCAGCAAGAAAAAAATAAAACATCAGAAGTGGGTAAAATAAATGAACATTTCTCAAAAGGAAAGAAACAAATGACTAATAAAGATATGAAAAAAATGTTCTATATCACTATTCATTAGGGAAATGCAAATCGATGAGATGCCACCTTACCCTTGTCAGAATGGCTGTTATTAAAAAGTCAAAAAACGAGAGATGCTAGTGGGGATGTGGTTGGAGGAAAATGCTTATACACTTTTGGTAGGAGCATAAATTAGAACAATCTCTATGGAAACTGTATAGGGATTCCTCAAAGAACTAAAAGTAGGCATACCATTCGATTCAGCAATCTCACTACTGGTGATCTACCCAAAGGAAAAGAAATCATCTTATATAAAGGACACCTGTAGGAGATCTGAGAAGAGTAAGATGACCAAATAGAAACCTCCAGCAATCATCCCTCCACACAAACACCAAATTCAACAACTAGACAGGAAGCACCTTCAGAAAAACCGAAAATCAGGTTGTGTGATCACAAACTAGAATCAATGACAGCAGGACCAACCCCATAACTAAACACAGTGCTTCCCATCTCAAGCTATTAGGGAGCAGTGGATTCATACCCACAAGTGCAATCCACAAGCTTGGAGGAGCTTAAGCTGGGGGACCAAACTCCCTACACTCCACTGGCAAGAGGTGAAGACAACAGGATAGAGTTAACACAAGTGGTTCATCAAACTTATATAGAATGGTTTTCTCTGAACCAATTTTCTATTATAAACATAAAATGATAGGTAAGCCACTGCTAAATTTTAAGAGAAAATACTATACAAATTGAGATTCAGATTAACAAAATTAATTTCACAAGAAACCACTTTACCTTCTTATCGACACTGAAGTCTTCACTGTCTGATGTAGGCCACGAATCATCAATACCCAGGTTGGTGGAAATCCTTTAGAGAAAAAATAAATAACAAAAATAAATGAGGTTATCTCCTTAAAATAAAAACATCTGCAGCGTTATATCCAGGTGCATCCACCCAGACAATAAAACAACGTGAAAGGTCAGCTATCTAGATATTAAATGATGTTTCTTGATATGCTTTATTAATAAAATTTGGTCTGTGTCTTAAAAAATATTCTAGTTACTTACTTGTCTCCACCTCTCACAATCTATGAAATAGTCAATGAAGACTTACTTTTAGTTTCATAACAAATATTGACAGCCAATATATCGGGAAAGCCTGAGTATATATGTCCTCACAAATTGTTCACTTAGTGACTGACATGACTTTTGGTACCTGAACTGGAAGAAACCTGATAACCTAAATCAAGGTAGAAAAATATGCTGTCCCTTCTCCATTACATGTCTCTGTTTCAAAGACTAATCTGTATCACTCAGAAAATTGGCAGTCTTGCTTCTTCAGAAAGGAAAGCATCTAAGAAGACCCTGTATCTTCCTTTGCTCTAAAACCATACAGGGAGTTCCTGGAAACATCTGAAATGTTTGAAAGATAAATGTACGAAAGTCAAAGAAAAATTAACATCTTGTTATTGGGAATATTCTTCCAAGAAAAAGTACAAAATTAAAAATTATACTATCCAATTATTTTGCCTATATAAGTCTTGCCTTATTCAGTTCTATACAAACTAGCAAGCCCTTAAAAACCTTCATAGACACTCAGACACTCAAGAAGAGAGACTCCTGGAAAAAGAGAATCCTGGTAGTCACACTTTTATTTCCAAAAGTACTATCTAAGTAGCTTCCTTCCTATGGGCTCCCGATTCCAGATCCCTCTTCTGCAGGGCTCCATGGCAGTCTCCAACCTTTCAATCTTCAGTCTAATAAAGCTCAGGTTCCTGAAGAAACAGGCTCAAATGACCAAGAGCAGGAAACCTCTATTTCCCCCCTCCTGATAAGCAGGCTAAACGGAGTCTCAGTCATCTTCTCCCAGGACAGGCATGCTATCAACTACCCCAGCTCCATGACTGATTTCCCAGCAAATCTTACCCCTGCTCCACTCTACATGTACATAGGAAGGACATCAGTGAAATGGGAAAAAAAGGAGAGGTGAGGTGACACATGCCACGGGCCCCAGATCTGTGATTCAACCACCTCTGGCCCCCCTAGTACTCAAGTGGCTGTAAGCCACCCCTATGTAAGTTGGAGTGGAAGTAGATGATAACACATTCATATCTGCTCTAAAGACTCTTCCCAGTGACTCAGATTCTTTTAACATCTTTCCATAGAACCTTCAAGTTTGTCAGTTCCTCCAATTAAACAAACAACAAAAAAAAACAGCAACCTTTGCAGAACTCCCTTGAACCCTCTATTTTAATGTACCTTTCTAGATTAAATCCCAATATCCTTTCTCATTCATTTATAAGATTTGTCTTTATCAAACTTGTCAGAAGCCCCAGTATTCTGATTTCTTTTCTTCAACCTGTATTTCTCTCCAATCCAGCATTGTTTTTCTTCAAACTTGGTCTTCCACTGCTAATTCCACTCTTATCCACTGCCACTGGGTTCACCAGCTAATTCCATTCTTATTCTCTTCCATTGGGTTCACTAGACCTACTCCCCATTTCTATTAAAACACTCACCTACAGGATGATAAAGAAGGAAGAGTACTGGGCTTCAAATGAAGAAACATGAGTTCAAATCTCATTTCTGCTACTGACTATATCCAAATAAATCACTTAAATATCTTGGGTTTCAATCCTATGTTATTTACCCAAGTAAAAAGTTTCAGGTATGCTATTTAAACAACTACTCGACCAATATGTAAAACACAGGTTAAAGAACCGGAAGATATTTTTATTAGTCTCTAAGATTCCTTAAAATCCTGAATTTCTATGTGTTTTGAATTCTCTGTATAGAAAAAGAGGGAATATTTAACTAGCAGAAATGAAAAAAAAAAAACAAGGAATGCAAAGTAGATAGTATAAAATATTAAGACAAAATTATAGAAAATCATGGGAGAACAAAGAAAGACTGTAGGAAAAAAATTTTAAAAGTTCATGTAATTAGGCTAAGATACCAGCCTAATGGGAAAACCAAACTGGGAAGTCATTAACTGGAAAAATCAATTAGAACCAACTAATAAATAGATGCTAAATATAATTAACATAACATAGCCTATATGTAGATATCCTTCACTTACAGTAAAACAATTCCTCTCTAGGACTTTCCTGGTCTTGCTTATGTAAAACCTATGGTCCTATAGCCACAGTGAAGTGAGATCTGCCCTAAAATCTTTGATGTTCAAAAGAAGGACCACTGTAATTCTCAAATACATCAGGACAAACTCTAGGAATAATGAGACTTCTAAGAAAAATGCCTGATGAGAATTAACATACAACTAAATCTGACTTTCTGAATGGATATTATTGTACCTGTACCTTGATCCCTATACTGCACAGGTTTCTACTGATCTATGCTAAGAGGTAAGCAAATACATTTGGGAGCCAGGCAGGCTGATAATCAAACTATGGGATCATGGGGCAGTTAATTAATTTCTTGGGACCACCGTTGCTTAATTAGTAAATAGTAATAGCATGGATTTTTGCAAAGCAGTTGTGATGACTATAGAAGATATGAGATGTTAAGCATATAATGTGGTCTGTAGTCCAGAATGGAACATTCAAGTATTAGGTTATTTTCTCTGCATTCCCTTATTTAACATACAATTTTTAAAAAATCTGCAAAATCCTACCTGACTGTAGAGTCTTCAGAAATCCCATCCACTATTAACGAAAAAAGTAAAGTATTTTTAAATCAACAACAAATATAGAATATTAAAAGAATAAAAGAGTATGGTGTTATATGCCTATAATCTCAGCTACTTGGGAGGCTGGGACAAGAGGATCCTTTGAGGAGCCCAGGAATAAGACCAGCAAGACTCCAACTTCACAAAAAATAAATAAATAACGCACACTTCTGTATCTGTTTTAGATTTTGTACCAAAATAAGAAAAAGACTGATGCTTTGTTACAAAGTATTCTTTTGGAGTCATACCTGGGGACTGTACTAGTATTAATATTATTGATACTGTTGGTAGGGAGTTAATCCATCAATAACACTTGCCTCCCCTCCTTTGATTTATCAAATGTAAGAGAGACTGGAATTTATCAGAATTTGGTGAACAGCTGTGTACAATAATCATAATCCCAAATGAAACCTACCAGAGTGACTGAAAATGATCTCACTAGTAGCATCAGTATTATAAGAAGACAGTGTCAAACTTAAACAGCATGATTTCTGGACTAACAGACTCAGAGCTACAAGAACAATATACAACAGTCCCCATTGCTGCTATATGTTCACACACTGCAACAGCAATTATCAACACAAAGGACTTCTTTGACCAAATGTGGTGGGGGGCAGGGGATTCCCCATAAACAATCAAGCAATTGATTCTGCAGGAGGCCCCAGCTGAGAGTCCTGTAATTCAGTTCCAACACTATGTTCAGATCCCACAGTTTGGGGCTCAGTCCCCAAGGCTGGCTTTTCCAATACCAGTCACAAATGTGGGCCTCCAGAACTTCTGACTGATCAGCTTCAAGTCAAGGTTCCTGCAATCTCCTCTTTGGGTTCCACTAATTTGTTAGAATAGCTCACAGAACTCAGGAAAACATGTTGCAAGAGATATGGATGAAGAGATGCATAGGATAAGGCATGGTGGAAGGAATAGGGTGATTCCATGACCTCCCAGGGCTGCTACCCTAGAACAACTTCCACATATTCAGCTATCTGGAAGCTCTCTGAACTCAGTCTTTGAGTATTTATGAAAGCTTCATTACAGAGAAATGACAAATTAAATCATGGGCCATTGAAGATCAAGTTATCTTCAGCCCCACTCTCCTCCCTGGAGGTTGGAGGTGGGGTAGAAGTCCTGACCCTCTAATCATGCCTTGGTCTTTGTGATGACCAGCCTCCATCTTGCAGCTACCTAGTGACTGCTGGTCATCAGTCAATCCTTTACACACAAAAAGATATCACTTTGGAGAGTCTAAAAATTTTAGTTGTTGTATGCCAGGAAACCAGATCAAAGACCACATATATATTTCACGATATCACATCCTCTCTTTTGATTTCTGTGGTATCAGTTACCCATGATCAATCATGGTTCCAAAATGTTAGGTGGAAAATTTAAGATATGTGCAATGCAGCTGCCATTCAGCATGCCATTCTAAGTAGCATGATGTAATTTTCAGCTATCCCACCCCATCCCGTCTAGAACCTGAATCATTTGCTTGTCCAGTGTAACTAAACTGGATGTGCTAACCACCCAATAGTCATCAAAATGCTCTGCTCCTAATATCCAAATATCAATATCATTGTGGCTTCGTGATTCAGGATCATCCAAGGCAGATGCTCATCTTTCTGATGTCAGAAAGTCAACTGTATTCTAAAACTGCTATGTTATTCAACTTAATTCATCTCAACATGTATGCATTGTATCATTGTATCATCTCAAATCACCACTAGAAGAAGGGTATGTACAAGGAGATAATTTTAGAGACCACATTTCCATAACTTTATGGCAGTGCAGAGCTATACTATAATTGTTCTATTTTATTGTTATTATTGTTAATAATAATAATACTCATACTGTGCCTAATTTAGAAATTAAACTTTATGATATATATGTATGTATATATCATATATATGTGTATATATAGGAAAATCATTGTATATATAGGGTTTGATACAAAGTTTCAAGCATTCACTAGGAGTCTTAGAACATATCCACAGATAAGGGTGGACCACTGTACTTATTTTGTTATGACACAACACAGCCTCTCCAGATTCAGTTCAAACTGTTCAGTTTGGGATAAAACACCCCACACCAAAGGAAAGCTAGGTATAGGAGCATTGTACCTTTGCAAGGCAAAATAGGAAACAAGCCTGGAACAAGGACCCTTGTTCTTAGCACTAGCAAAACTGAACTGCTTGCACACCCTGCAAAGTTCACTCATGCATCTCAGATTTTGCACTTGCTGTTCCTTCTGCCAAACATATAATCTTGTTAGATGTTCCTTCTGCCAAGCATCATTCTTCTGCTGCTCTACCTGGCATGCTTACCTGACATGTTACCCAATTTTTTAAAGCATGAATTACTTACCATGGACTTAAACTGTCTGACACATATTTAACATGGTAAGTACATAAGAAATGATAATTAAGAGCTCACAGAGAGCATCAGACACATAGTAAGCACTGAATAAAGTAATAAATAATGAAAATGACAATAAAAATATAAAGCTTCTGAGTGTATTTCTTAGATGTTTGTATTCTGTAACATTATAAAAATGCTTATTGCCTAAAAGACACTTGATAGTTATTTGTCAATTGGGCAAGGAAATCAATGAATAAAAATGATTTTTTACAATTCTGTTGAAAAAACACAGAAATTATATAGGTACAGCTCTAGCTTATTATGAGAACCCTAAAGACTGAACCCACATCTATCATTGTTTCCTGCAACCTGCAAAGCCTAACTTATAAAAGTTCTTTAATAAATGTACTAAATTAAAGGTGTCACCATGCAGTTCACATTAGCAGGTACTTTAGGTGCCACACCTACGTAGCACAGTACCATTTTTTGTTATTGTGAAATGTTTTTGTACTTTTATTACAATTTTTTGAGCCCGAAGTTAGTCTATTGGCATACTGACTATGATAATCTTTTGGCTAATGGTAACAGGGTGTCCTATTCTAATAAAATTACTGTTATCACGACACTTATCTGGCAGATAAAAGAATATATCTTGTTTTAATGAAGTAAATATATCTCATTCAATTTCAATTTATGGGTATGAGGTCAATAATAGTGAGACCATGTTAGCATAAAAACCTGTAAGATAGCTTGTGCTTCTCAACAAGGAATTTCATTTCTGAAGTACTCAGTATCTTTACAAAATAACCTGCTGTTGGCAGTGGTGCACACTGGCCAAGCTTTACAGTTCCTATTGCTACTTGTTACTGTTGTTGACTTCCCAGTTTTAAGGACAGATACTTTCTTAGTGACAGGAATCACTATGTAATACCCTTGATCGTTGAACAAGGATTTGAAGTGCAGGGGTCCACTCATAAGCATATTTTCTTCTGCCTCTGCCACACGGAAACAACACCACCAAACTTCTATTCCTCCTTCTCAGCCGATTTTGAGTGAAGATGATGAGAATGAACCTTTCTGATGACCCACCTCCACTTTGTGAATAGCAAATACAGTTTTTCTTCCTTATGATTTTAATGATGATTTTGTTCTCTCAAGTTTTCTTTATTATAAGAATACAGTATATAATACATACAACATACAAAACATGTTAATTGACTGCTTATGTTAACAGTAGACTATTAGTAAAGTTTTGGGGGAGTCAGAAATTATGCACAAATTTTTGACTGCACAGGGAATTGGTGCCCCAACCCATGCATTATTCAGGTCAACTGTATGTCATTAATATTCATTTCCTAGATATATAAATACCTCATTTTAATAAGAAGTCCAATTTATTATAATGTCACCATAGAGGAAACATATAACATACTAACTTTAGAACCTTTTTTTTTAATTTATTCAAAAACATTATAGAGCATTTTAGGGACCATAATTAAATGAAGACTATTTTTAGACAATATTGTTTGACCTTATAAACTCCCTACAACTAACTTACTAAATAATTCTGAATTCTAGATTACTAAGAAATAAATTTTAAAAATACACATGCAATTTATAGATTGTCTTTTTAACTGCTCTTCTGTGCTCAAAACTTCCTTACTCTTAATTTGTTATCCCCAGTAGAACCACCAAGAGTAATTCACTATCAGAGGTCTTACCTGGATTGCTATTTTGAGAAAGATTGTCAGGTATCTTTTCTTTATATTCTGAAGCTTGGAGGTGAATGCTATGTATAAAAATGTAATAAATAATATTACTATTTTAATGTTGATATGAAAACATTTACCAAATATATGAAATTCTCAAGAGTATTTCAACAAAATCAGAGCTAATACCAGAACTTTAATTACCCCATACACTTCAAATTTGTAAGCTCTGCAAAGTTCTTATTAACCACTTCGGTACTGCGCTCACTTCACTGGCCAATAAACCTGCCCACAGCCAGCACTCACAGTCCCCACCAGAGTTTGTGCTGTGCATTGACGACGAATGCGTTTTGCTCTTGTGTGATGAGGAAAGCTTTAAAGCACTGAAAGCTTGTTTTACTTTACAGGCAGCTTTACTTGTAATGTAAATCAGAATAGGTAACATATGCATGTATGTTTTCATTACGTTATTTTTAAATGTTCACAATTTTATTTTGATAAATGAAAAATGAGAAAAGTCATATCACAGCTGTCGGCTAACGTTGCTGTGCGTGTTCATCTGTGGCTGTCGACTACAGTCGACGCTCGTACTGAAGTGGTTAAGCTCCTAATTAAAGAATAAAAACGTAAGGTGATGTCCTCATGAAATGTGGACAGTATAGTTCCTTCAACTAACTAGAGTATGCTTGACTTAATGAAAACTGTCCTGAAATTCAGTCTTAGCACTATAACCAATGGCTATTTGTTCATTGACAAGTTGCTTTTCTTAGGCTTGACATCTTCAAAACTTGAGGATTTTTCTGCCTTCTGTCACTATTAATAGGTTGTTATATATATTTGATATTAATAATATAACATTTTTTACAATGCTTGAAGAAAGCAGTGAAGTAACGGAATACTTTGTTCTTGAATTTAATTGCTGATATTACTTAAGGATCCCAAATGCAATCCATTCTGAGGCCAGGTGCAGTGGCTGATGCCTATATCCTAGCACTCTGGGAAGCCAAGGCAGAAGGATCACTTAAGCTCAGGAGTTCTTTCCAAGCCTAAGTAAGAGTAACACCCCATCTTTACCAAAAACAGAAAAAGTTAGTGGGGCATGGTGGTAAGTGCCTATAGTCCCAGCTACTCAGGAGGCTGAGACAGGAAGATCTCTTGAGCCCAGGAGTCTGAGGTTGCCGTGAGCTAGGCTGATGCCACGGCACTCTAGCCCAGGCAACAGAGTGAGACTCTGTTTCAAAAATAAAAATTTAAAAATCCATTCTGTATTTTTCCATAGGTTGCAATATTCAAATGTTGAAGTTTTCAGAAAATGTTATTAAGTCCTACTTTTGATTATTAGTTGTTTTATTCTTTGTGGTTTGTAATTCAGGATATTCAGCTATTACATAATTTGTAACAAAAATTTATTAATAAATATTTTATCTTCTTAAATTAGATAACACAAATGTCCCTGATTACTGAGCTAATCAATCACACCAAGAGCAGAAAACTAATAAATGTCAAGACCTGACTTGGACTGCTACTGTTCCTTCTTTACCTACTCAAACTCTGAACCAGCAGATCTTTGTTAGAATGATGCTTAATGTCCATGTTTCTCGCCAAGTGATGAGGAAAGCAACAAGTTACTTTTATTTCTTCTCAGTTCAATGAAGGAAATGCTAGTTAAAATTTTCTCATGTCTGAGATAAGTACCAACAACATATTTGCATGATAACATCATACATGTCCAAAACTCAACTCCACTGTCATTTCATAGATCACTTTACACAATTTTCTTTTTAGTGAAAATCACAATTTTAATACTGAGTGACACCTGTTTTGCTTTGACACACACTGTTTCCTTGGAGCTAGTCAGCAAATAGTCAAATGATGTTCAAAGGACTGCACAAAATTTGGAATGCTTCATAAATTTTCATGTCATCCTTGGGGGCAAGGACCATGCTAATCTTCTCCATATTCTTTCAATTTTAATGTATGCGCTGATGAAGCAAGCACAAAGCCCTGCATGGACACTGATGAGTCATGGATGAGGCTTGGCCCTGCTAAACCCAACAACCTCCTGTTTATTTATTTATTTAATCAACAGAGGAGCCAGTCAACCAACCAACCTACTTTAGACTCAGAGAATTCTGTTGACCGGCTTCCTTGGGCGGTGGAATTTGAAAATATTTAATAAACTTGAAGTACAGATCTAAGTATTCATAGCTTGGGAGATTTTCACTATAGAAAACAGATCACTGGAGGGGCCACCTACAAGTTTGTCACCCTAACTCTGCAGAAGGATGAAATGTAACTTTCCAATACCTAAGAAAAGGCACCACACAGGAGAAAAAGGAGGCTTAGCACACAAATCCAGTAGCAAAGAAGAAAGGAAGCTCTAATATCTTCCAGCAACACTATTTGAAACTCTCTGACAGTTTAGAACAATCCCAACTATTTGCTAGAGGGAAGACAAACAAGGGCATCAAGGGATAACTTACCAAGTCTAGGCTGAGATGAGCGCACCATGTAAGGTTGTGAGAGTGGACGGGGGGCCGTTTTGCTCACTGTGTGTGTGGCTATCGCTGGGAGGCCCAGCTGCCAGAGCAGGGCACTGGTGCTTTAGGAACAATGGTTGAGCATATGCGCCTATGCATGTGAACTCAAAAAATATGTAATGTTGAAGTCTAAGTATGGATCACCATGAAGACTGAGGAATGTGAATCTGTAAGGGCATCCTGGTTGCAAAGGTCAATCATTTCTAGATAGCAAGACCAGTGTCAAATGCAACAACAGGATCATACGAGACGATAGAATGACTGAAATGTCCTTTCATTCCGCTCCTTCTGACTTGTAAAAATGACTGTCTTATTTGCACTTAAAGAACCCTTTAATTTCTTCAAAAATTCAAGGAGGAAGCTATAGGAGATAGCCCATAGGAGACAGTACAAAATTTTCTGTTAATCTGACACTTCAAGACCAAAATAACTAATTAGAAGAATCAAACATGTCACATGATGGTTATCCCGTGCTGAGGGGTTATTCTTAGAATGAAGTGGACATTGATATCGCTCAAGATAAAGATCTTAAAACTCCTGAAATACAGAATTCTGTATCTATTACTACTTTTAAATACTTTAGACTTTTGTTTGATTTCTGGCTGATTAATTGGACTAACTCACTGCCATTCCCATACTACCTGAAACACACTATGAAATTTCACCTGATGTATAAGATACAATACTTATAATTATTTTAAACTTCAATTTAGTGTTAATTAGTCTTTTAATGTAAATAATTACTTATTTAAACCACTAGCAGTGGGATAATCTTTTGCAGTACATCCAAAGATATCTTCAGAAAAAACATCAATATCTTGCTCAAGAAGAAGAGTGACTGTACTTGGTAAATTACAATGTGCAGAAAGCACTAAGGCTGTTCTAAAATAACAGAGAGGTAACTTCATGCCTAGAAACTTTAATAAAATTATTTAAAATGCTAATTTAATATACATTACCAGCTGAATATTTTGCCTGTCAGTGTAGAATTAACCATTTACATGTACTAACTGGCACAAGCATCTTGGATGCTCAAGTGTTCATCTTTATAAATTACCACCAAGGTTAAAAGGAAAGGACACAAAGGGAGCCTTTTGTCTCATTTAGGTATGACACAGAAGTTGGTCATTCCTTGCTGAGATCACTTATCTAAAGTAACCAAAGTATTAACTGAAGTACTGTCCATGTCTTCCCTATTTTGATATAATGTACTATAATTACAAGTCAACTAGGGGTCAGTTAAGTAAGCACTATCTGCAGGCTTAAAACAGTAACATCAAAATAGTGATAAAAATAGTAGTCACATTAGTTTCAGTCAATCATGCTGATGAGCATGTGCTGGGCACTGAATAAAATGTTCTATATACAATCTTACTTGTACACAACCACCCTAAAAAGGCATATCGTTATTCTCCTTTTCATATTAGAATACACGTTTGGTGGTAAGTAGTGTTCTCAAGGTTACACACCTAGCAAGTGGGAAAGCTAGAATTTAAATTTAAAATCTTGTGTGAATGGAAAGCCTCTTTTCCCTTTATCATCCACTTATGGCTTATCTTCTTCGTTAAACAAAAGTGTTATCCAAATAAAATTGTCTTTCTCCCTTTTCTCATAACAATTAAGAAGAAAAAAACTCAAAATATGATACGAATAAAAACAATAAAAAACTGATGAACCCACAGTATCTAATTATAGCAATTAATAATTCTTTAGGAATCACCTAACATCAATATTCTTCAAAAACAACTTAAAGCAGAGAGTCATCAAAAAGACAAAATGATTTTCAACTTCTATTTATGTTTCATATAGCATTTTGAAGGAAAACTCTAGAAGAAGCAAAAGTTAAAAATATTATAAAAGGATTGAGAACTTCAATATTGAGTCATAAAATGAACTAAAAGTTAAAGTCCACACTTTAATAAAACTAATATGAAACCTCTTTAGCTGATATAACATCACATGATCAAAAACATCAGATTACAAATAACAATTATCAGTCAGCATTATAAGATGATGAATCCTACTGCATACTGCCCTTTAGGCTGCCCAGTCCATAGTTGCTTTTCTACCTGATGATTTGTGTTGATATTTGTCACTCTATCCTCCCCAAAATTATGTTAATCTTCTTGTTCCTTTAATACTTCTGACTTAAGTGACTCTTGCTACCCTAAAATAACATTCACGTTTATTTTTTTAAAAAAGCATTAAATACTATACCTTTTAATTTTATCTACTGCATTTATATTTGCATTCTTCTTGACCAAAAATTCTATCATTTCCTTCTTTTTTCCACTTATAGCAAGTAAAAGTGGAGTGAGGTGATCCTGTAATACAGCAAAATCAATTTATCATTCACAAAATTTCATATTTCTCAATGGAAGTGAAAATTTGATGTAAGATTCTATGAACTTAAACATAGCATACAGAAAGTAAAGGAAAGGTATTTTCATCGTCTCACCCCTCTATGCTTTCCCATGTGCTGCTCCTTCCCTTAGAAACTCCCCTCCTCTCCCTCTCCACGCTAACTCCTGCCACATCCCAAACTCATTTCAAACATTTATGGGTTCCAAGAATCTTTGTTTCTATCACAACATTTATTATGCTATACTGTAGTTATTTTATTGTTTTCCATCCAAACCAAGAACTTCTTGAGGGCAGGGGTTGTATCTTTTATCTCCACATTCCTAGACCCTAAGATGTAGTAGTAAAGGCTTCAAGTATTTTTACTGAATTAATGATCTCAATTATTATATCTACAGCAATGTTTCTTAAATTACATTACAAAGAGTATTTATTTACCAGAAGTTGAAGACTTTTTCCCAACAGAAAGATTCTATGACCATCTATGCTACAAAAAGGGTGCAAAGCTATATATCATATGTCCAGTATTAAAGAAATCTCTCTAACTTTGCCTAATCTCTATTTGACAATACATTTTTTGGCAAAGAACATGAGAAGAATGAAATCTTCAGAGATAAAGTTTTGAGAATTTTCCAGTAAATGTAGAGGTTTCCTCCAGGTGATACAAACTCATGTGATTCTCTTCTATCAGTGGTGTAGGACCCCAGGAGCCAATAACAAGCACCCTTTCTCCAAATGGGTCACTAAGGAAATGGACTCTGAATAAAGGAGAGAGGTGTCAAATGAACTTCAATTCCTTATTATTACATGGTCCATGTTGTTTCTCCTATGACAAGATGAAAGATGTTTATCTTACCTGTTAGAAGCCTCAGTATGACTTTTCTCCTCAATTATGACAATCCTGGGATGCTAATGCACATCTACTTTATTATACTCCACTTGTATTCTGATTTCCATTTTAATTGGTACTTACAAAGTTATTTTTACTTTATGCAAAATATAAATCAGAAATAAAAATATAACAACTTATCAATAGAAGTTCTAATAGTGATCTCTGTGGATTATTGCTAGCATAATGAAAGCCACTAAATCATTTGCACTTTGTAGTGTCTACACTGAGGAGAAAAATATAATGTTGTCTGAATTAGCCTAGCCAACTATAACATGGGTAACCTAGAAAGCTTATAGGCTTTCAAATATGAGGATGATTTTTTTATGGTGTATATAAAGAAAAATAGATTTTGTAAAAAAATAACTTCTATATTCTAAAATCCAACCATATTACTAATAGATTAACATAATATAGACGACATACATTATCAACAAGTATAAAGTATCTTGAAAACCTTGAAATCATTTCAAAATATACTATAAAACAAGATTTCTCCTCTCAAATGCAGGCAAAGTAGGTGACCTGAACATGTGAAGCGCCTAGGTGGGCACAAGAGCAAACTGGAGAACATACACCTTGTATAAAGGGGGAATATCTGCACAGCATAGCAAACAGTAATATGAGTTCAAGGGACAATAGGTTTGATTCTTTGGGCAAGCCCGAAACCCAGGTTCCTTCATGTCTCCTAAATTTTACATGTGTACTCAATTTATGGAGGCAGACTAAACCTATTTATGGGCTGCATTTTGACTAGAGTCCTTGTGTTCTAAAATTTGCTAAAGATGTTTCCAAATAGTTGTGCGTAAAGTACATACGTATATGTGAAATTTTTCCTTAGTGTCATAGATTTTACCAAAATATGATACATATTTTACCAAAATATGGTACAAAATAAAAGTTGCTATTAAGACTCATAATACCCACTTGAAGAATTTTTCAAACATCTGTTCATTTACTGTCTATTTGCATTCATTTTCCCCCGATTGTTAACCAAATGGTTAACTTATATAGGGTTAGGGTTAGGGTTAGTTCATAGGACTGATAAAACCAGATTAAAAGAATTCCTATCTATGTTCTTAGGAACTTAAATGTTTTCAGTGTTTAAAACTACCGTCCTCATTATGCCAAAGCTCTATGAACTTAACAGACATACAGAGATAGTTCATAATATAGCAGTACCTGAATAAAAGATTCAAGATTTGCTATCATTCTAATTGAGAAAACCCTCTTGTAGTAAACATTTGTTGAACTAATCCCCTGAATGTTAACAAAGAAACGTTGAAATTCTTAAAGGGCCTACTTCTACTTATTGAAAGACTGTCTATAAGCAAATTTCTAAAGACTTTCTGAATGGCAGCGAACGACTGTGAAAGAGAAGGAAAAAGGTGTTGTTCTATAAGCTGATAGATATTGCCAATGATATTCTTTTCACCTGATCAACCACAGAGCTAGAAAAATGCAGATAAAGTCAGACTAATATTATTAGAAACGAGAGATCTGAAGGAAGCAGAAGCTATCAAACTCCAGTTTTTCTAGAGATTTCTTCGGTTTTTGAAATATGGGAATTTACATATTATATTTATCTATTCAATGGTTCTTAAATAAGAGTGCATCATAATCTCGAGAAAAATATTTTATTGGTTAGAGAGAGGGTCTCATTATGTTGCACAGGTGGACATGAACCCCTGGGTTCAAGTGATCCTCCTGCCTCAACCCTCCAGAATAGCTTGGACAACAGGCATATATGAGTGCACCGAGCTTTGAGGAAATCTGTTTAAATATGTATGTCCAGGCCTCATTAAATATACTAAATCAAAGTCTTCAGGGATTAGCTGAGACTTGTAGATTGTTAAACAATGTCCCCAGGTCACTGTGATACACAGCTCTAGCTGACAATCAGTGGAGTAGACTAAATCACTTCAGTGTCGTGTCTCTCTCACGTAGCCAAGTCCCTTTATCATTTGGAAATCTGGCCAAAAACAGGAGATAGTAAGACATGGAGTTATTTACTGAAAACTCCGTTTAATTTTATTGCATAGGGTTAGAACAGGGACTAAGAGACTCAAACTACAACCTGATTTTGCTTTTTATAAGCTCTGTATCTCCCACCTTCCCAACAAGAAATTCCAGTAGAGTCTTGTCTAAGTGGCAGTTTCTGCAAGAGTAGGGTAAGAAGTCAGTTAAGTACTTATTCTTCCCTCTTCTGAAGTCTTTCCCACATCATCACCACCTCTGCCAATCTGGTTTCCTCAGAGTCCCCATAAAATTGAGTTCTGGGAAAGTTTACAACTCACTAACACTCTTTCCCAAAATGAGAATTATTTTCCTGAAAACTGAAGAGCACTTTGTATAAACATATAAATTGGGAACAAACAAACACACAAAAACCATCTTCATTGTATTTTCCCTAAATTACCTACTTTACAAACTGGCCTGCTTATTTCTTATTGTTCTTTTTTCCCCTTTCCATTTTTATCTCTTAAGACTTGCAAATTAGAGACAAGTCACTTTGATATAAATTACATTTTTAGGGAACTTGTCAACAGCAGCAAGACTTCCATTTACTGTGTAATGTTTTATATATGAATTTTAAGATAAAGCTTATTTCCAGGGCATATTTGGCTTCCCTGGGTTATTTTCAACTAATAAGGAAAAAAAAACAACTTGAGAATGCAAGTTTTCCTTTAACAAATGCACAGTTTTCACAAACATTAACCATGAACGTATAAAAGAAAGCTGCATCCTCTAATGCCTCTTTAAATGTTTCAATATTTAAAGTAAAATCATAGACAATTAAGTTATTTCAAACTATTTTCATTCAGGGAATATTCGAGCTTCCAAATATGGAAAATTGATGGTTATATATATCAGTGTTCAACATTTTCAAAATAAAGTTGGTTGATCTATACCTTGTTTATTGCTTCTATATTTGCGCCATGTGAAAGGAGTTTTTCTGTGATCGATGTGTTCTCATGATAGACAGCGTAGTGAAGAGCTGTGTTGCCACAGACATCACTGCGATTTGGATCCGCACCATGTTCTAACAGGACGGTGGCACACTCCTCTTCCTGGCATTGTACCGCCTATCAGTGTCAGATCAAGAAATGCATCATAAATTCTAGGAATTCAAAAGAACATTCCACAGATTCTACCAACTAATTATGTTTAAATGAAATAAATGTGTTCTTATTCTGTGTATTGAAATCAAATTCATCTCACACCAAAATAGATGGCTGCTACATACCTTAATCAGAGCTGTCCTTTTTTCACTGTCGGGGACATTGAGCTTGCATTTTCTATCCACAAGGATAGTAACCACTTTTGGATGGCCACTGGCGCAGGCCAAATGGAGAGCAGTCCTGTGAAAGTGAGAGGGATTTTTAGGAAATTGTAGTGCACTATCTTAAAATATACAGTGATTCAGGTAATTGTAAATATTAAACAGCATATTATTCCTCCACCTTCAAAACAAATATTTAATTTTGTGAAGAAAGTATAGTATTTATTAGCTTGTATTCCTCACTACATTAATAAAAGAGCAGCCTATTTGAATAGAAAGAGCTTGGCTTTTGGAGTCAGTTCAACCTGAGTTTGCATCCTACTTTAAGCTCTGTCAATTACTAGCTATCACCTGGCCTTTTCTGTGCCTCAATTTCTTCTTCAATAAAATAGGAAAAAAAAAATAGTAGCTATCTCATAGGACATCACCGTGATGCTTAAGTGAGACTCTGTACAAAGTATTTTGAACAGTTCTTAATACAAATAATAACTCAATGATAATTAGATAATATTACTCCTATTAAACAAACACGACATTTTAATTAAGTAAAATGATACAATTATACCTACTTTGTGGTTTCCCCCAAGACTAGAAATAACATTGTATTTCAGTGATGTTAGGGTGCTCATTTGCTCACATTTTAACATCACTGATACTAGAATGGTTCTTTTTATTTATGACTTATTTAAACTATAATTAGCAGCATTTAAAAATTATCTCATTGATAAAATAATGGGGCATCACACAGTCAATGATGCCCTACATTAAGTGAAATATAGCATCTACCTGTTCTAGTGATATCATTGGCATTTATATAAATTTCAGAATCCCATTACTGGGCATCTATCTAAAGGAAAACAAGAAATTTCTATAAAAAGAGACATCTGCACTCAAATGTTTATTGCAGCACAATTCACAACTGCAAAGGTATGGAAACAACTCAAGTGCCCATCAATACATCAGTGGATTAATAAAATGTGGTATATGTACACCATGAAGTTCTACTCAGGCACAAAAACAATGGTGATCTAGCACCTCTTGTATTACCCTGGATAGTGCAGGAGCCCATTCTACTAAGTGAAGTATGACAAGAATGGAAAAACCACACGTACTCACCATCAAATTGGTATTAACTGATCAACACTTACGTGCACATATTCACATAACATTCACTGGGTGTTGTGCAGATGGGAGGGGGAGGAGAGGATGGGTATATTCACATCTAGTGGGTGCAATGTGCACTGTCTGGGAGAGGGACACGCTTGAAGCTCTGACTTGGGTGGGGCAAAGACAATATATGTAACCTAAACATTTGTGCTCCCGTAATATGCTGAAATAATTTTTTTAAATGCTATAAAATACGCTTAAAATAAAGAAAATTTTAAAACCAAGTAATTCTTACTTTGATTTCCAAATAACTTCAAAGCAAAGGAAACCCAGGACTCAAATGAATAGGTAAGTCTCATTTGTTCGATATTTGGATTTATATGATGTGTGAGAATCAGATATTTTCAATGTTTTAGTATTTAATAGTTAAAAATTTAAAAGGGCAGTTTAAGCTCATCTTTTATAATTTTCCACCTTCAGAAAAGCTTTTGTTTGAAAGGAGGAAAAGCTTTAACTGAATTTAAGTCCTAATACTCCAATTTTAAATATCTCAATTGTTCTGGCTGGCCAGATAAATACGAAGTTTTTAAGGATGGATGTGTCCTGAAAGATAATAGAATATGTCTGCTACATAATAGGTATTCACATTATGTTTGGTGAATAAATGAATTGAAAGGATAGAGTTGAAAAGTTCAGTATTTATAAAGAAAACTCTTATAAAGTGATAACTTTGTAATAGTAACAATCATTTATATTTGCTATTTTTCATTTTCACAATAATACAGTTTAAATATGATTAATCTGAACTTTTTGAATATAATAAATATATATATACAACAAAACAGATGCACATTATACAAATGTATATATAATAAAATCTTCAGGCACAGATAAAAAGATCACCTTTACTTCTGAAGAGCTAAAAGTTGGCGGAAGATTCCAATCCACAAAAAAATTAAAAATAAATGAATATAAATTAAGAAATTATTTGTCTCTGCAAGATCCATATTACTGCTCTTCCCAGGGATTATGTCATTAATAGTAAACTTTTACTATGACTTTTAAAGCATACATGCTAATTGTAGAAATCACAGATAAGAAAAAGGAAAAAAATTCACTTACAATACAAATGCGCAGATTACCAAATTTTATCACACTTTGTACATATTTTCAGCTAACACAAGAACACAGTGTGTTTGTGTACATGTATAATCAAAATGATTTTTATTCTTACTTGATATACCTAAATATTCTTCACATGTCAGCATATGTATGTATCTATGCTACCTTCTATGGTCACATATTCCATCCTATGGACACAACCAAATTGATTTATAAAATCCATCCTATGTGTTCCTCTTAATACATTATTATTTTAAGAAGTGCTCAAAAAAACAAATCATATGCTCTCTATTTCTTAAGGGTACTTTCGTACAATGGAATCCAGGTGTAAAGGGCGTATGTATATTTTAAATGTGTAGTTACAGTTCCCTCCTTAGTGCAGTAGGCAGCCTGTCAGTGTCCTAAGCGCACAGTTATCACCAAGTTGTCTATTTGAAAAGAAATCAGCAACATAAACTATAAGAACCAGTAAGGCCAGGCGTGGTGGCTCACGCCTGTAATCCTAGCACTCTGGGAGGCCGAGGCGGGCGGATTGCTCTAGATCAGGAGTTCGAAACCAGCCTGAGCAAGAGCGAGACCCTGTCTCTACTATAAATAAATTAATTTGTCAACTAATATATATGTAGAAAACAATCAGCTGGGCATGGTGGCGCATGCCTGTAATCCCAGCTACTTGGGAGGCTGAGGCAGGAGGATTGCTTGAGCCCAGGAGTTTGAGGTTGCTGTGAGCTAGGCTGACACCACGGCACTCACTCTAGCCTAGGCAACAAAGCGAGACTCTGTCTCAATAAAAGAAAAGAACCAGTGTAAGTATTTTCAATGTTTAATATTAGTATTTAATATCTACATTCCTATAAATTTTGTGGAGAGATTAAGAGTATCTCATTCCTGGTTTAACCTAAAATCCTTCTCTTAGCAAGGACACCATTTTTTCCTATGTGTGTAGGTCACTTGTGGATCTGTAAAAAACGTACTTTGCCCAATTTTAAATTACCAGTCAGTTTTTTTCTTGTTTGTCACCATTATCAAGTTCTAAATTCTTTCCTGTATTTGGGCGTTTCTGGATTTTCTATTGTTCCACTCATTTATCTGTCTCAACTGTTAATAAATGATTAAATTGTGGAAATTAATAACACATCTTGAAATCTAGAAGAGCAAATCTTCTTCACTCCATTACAAAAACTTTCTTCATGTCATCACAATAGTAAGAGACACCATGTGTAACTCAGAAATTTGAAAACCTTAATACTTTTATTTGGCTTATGTAAAATTGATAAATATAGAAAGAGCTCACATTTTCAGAAAAATGAGTTTTCCTGTTGAAGACTATGGTACCATACACCCACACTTCAAAGTTTCCTTCTAAGTTCCCTGAGTGAAGGACACATTTACTAAGTAGGAGTACATTGACATAAAATGGATACTGAATTTCATGCGAAGATGTTTGGCCCAGAATTTGACGCATTATGCGAATTATTACTCTCATTATGTACCTTTCTATAATGTATATAACATAATGTGTCAAAATGTGTACATTAAAAATAAAACACCGTATATACTTGCGTTAAATAGCTAAAATTGGCAATAAAGTGTCCTGCAAGGGGAACGAACCATGAGCGTAGAGGAACCCGCTGAAGTTTTGTTTCTGTGCCGCTGCCCACACAGACGGCCGGGGCGCCGGACCCCTGCAGGTGTCCACGTCGCGGGGCTGCGGGGCCCGCAGGGAGGACAGCCGGCGCCCTCGCCCACAGGCGCCCGGGCTGCGCCAGCCTGGAAGGGCGCTTCCCCCGCACTCGCCCGGCGCCCGGGCCGCGACGGCCGTTCCATTACCTCTTCTGTCTGTCTCTGGCATCCAGAACCTTCTTCTTCAGAGAAAGGACCTGCTCCACTTTCGCTACGTCACCAGCGCGGGCAGCCTGGTGAATTTTGCCGAGATCTTTCTTCCGGATGTGGTAGCGTGGCTGCAGGAAGGCGCTGTCACCAGCCTGGCCTTGCAGGCCGACCCTGGTCTGGCCACGGCCGCTGCAGGGGCGGGAGGGCGGCGCGCCCTGGTCTCCCCAGAAGCAGAAGATCTTCTTCATGGTGGCGGCTGCCGGCCTCGGAGGAGCCTCAGCCCACCCCCACCCCCACCCAACCCCCTGCTTATTCCCCGCCTCGGGTGCCCAGTGCTATCAAGACAACCCGATCTGACCACGACCTCCTTTTCCTTTTCAAAGAAAATCCCAGTTTCCAATGACTGACAGGAGTAAATCGCCAGGCAGAGCCAGGCAGCACTAAGCACCGCCAAGTGGCGCCGTTAAAGCAAGTGCGCGTGCGCGCATCAGAATGTGACATCCCTGCGCATGCGCACAACTGCCAACGGAAAAAATCCCACGACGCTCCTGTGGGTGCGTGGCTGGTCCGGGTTGCTCGGTCCCCACTGCCCACGTGTCGTGCACCTGCACGGGCTGGCTGGGCTCGCCCCGAGCTGCCTCAGCGTCCCTGAGTGCACCGCCCACCCGGCCTACAGGCCAGCAGCGCGACTGAAGCACAACTCTTGGCGCCTGCTCCTCCTTGCCCGGTGTCCATATCCAGAGGCCTCCAGGCCTGGGCCCGGAGCACGTGGCCTCAAGATGTCCTGAGAAAATGTGCCTTCGGTGGCTGGGTTACAGTTTGGTTTCATACATGCTTAGAGACAAGAATTACCTGTAAGACCCTAAGTCCATATGTGGAAGGTGTACACTTGTTTGGCCTGAAAAGGTGGGACATCTTCAAGTGGGGGGGGGCCTTATAGGTTATAGGTGGGTTTAAAGATTATTTGATTTGTAATTGTTTAAAGAAATGAAGATGTGCATAAAGGCTTGGAATGTTTTAACTTCAGATAAGGATCAGAAAGAAGCCACCAGACATTTACTGAAACTCAAGTGATCTGTTAACTGAACTGATGACCTACAGGAATGGTGCAAGCAGTTGTCTCATATTATACCCTTGGGCCTCTTAATGATGTCTATCTTACTACTATGAAAAGGGATCGGGGCATGAGGAGTCCTGTATGACCTCCCTCCTCAAGACCTGCAACTTATTAGCTTTAGGGATTTTCTAGAGTCTCCTTGACAAAGAGGACACCCATCCTGTCACCCAAAGGTGGTTGATTTTAAGTTCTTAGATTTTATTTAGATTTAAGTGCTTAAGATTTTATTTTAGTTCACACTAATTTCAGATACCTTAAAAGTTTTCTCACATAAACATTTCATTGGGGAGGGAATAGGCAAAGCAATGCTATGACAGTGAAGTAAAACTTACCTGATGATGAATTTAGAGACATAGCCACCAATAATGTAATTGTAAGAAGGAAAGCCATTAACAACCTTAACAACCATGATGGATTTGTATTCTATCAAGATCAATACCTAATGAGACTTAGGTATTGGTAATACCTGTTTCAAGTAGAACTTTAGGAATGCATCAAAATAAGCAATATTTGGGACACTATTTGGCCTTCTAAAGTAGCTTTTTAAAATATTTAGGCTAACCCTGGAATATTCTTTATTCTATTAAGCATAAATATCTAAATAATGATAGGCAGAGAAAATATCATGCACATGGTTTTAGTCAAAGAACTATCACAAATTTGCAACTTGGAACAACTGCAGAAAATCAATTCACCTAGTGTAGAAATTGTTTACTCATTACTGTCAATTCAGAACATAATTGACCTTGGATAATACTGACCCTGATAAAATATGTATTGAATTTCTACTAAATGATATTAATATAACTAGTTAAATCCATATTTCTTTGTTGTTATTATGGTGCTCTAAACCAGAGTTCTCTGAACTTGTGAGCCACCACAAGAGCATCCCATCAATCTATTATAGGTTTGCCTAAGATACTAATCATCTGAGGGTACTGAGGTGGCCAGAGAACTACAACTTCAAGCAACTTGGTCCCCCTAACCCAGGACGTTATAGAAATGTTATAATTCTCTGTTTGTACCAGAACCAATCTAAGCAATACTCATTAACCTAATTGATTTTGCAAAAGACACAATTTAATGTTGAGAACCTAGAGTTTTGTTTCACTTTTCCAAAACAAACCATCAACCACTTTATTTCTGGCTTTTTCTTTAAAAAGAAACTACCTGGAAAGGAGCAGACTGAAACATGAAACACATCTTTAGGCCAAAGAACATTCTGAAAATATGAAATTAAAATCATGATTACACCTTGTTTTTCTAGAAAGTTTACTAGAAACATTTACATGAAATACCATAATTATTAAAAAGCAAAGTTTTTTTTTTCTTTGGTTGGGCTTGGAATAGTCTTTGACTATTATTCTGATTAAATCATTAAAAATTTCCTAACATTTTTATCAAGTTAATGTTTAAAAACAAATCTTTGCCACTCCTCAGCCTAGGAGAAATGTGTACATACGTTCACCGAGAAATGTATACAAGAACATTCACAACAGCTACTCTTTGAGCCAAAACCTAGAAACAACCCAAATGTCCACTTAAAGTAGAATGAATATTGTGGCATTTGTATAGTAAATTGCTATGCATCAAGGATAAAAACAAGTGCAAATTCAAATAACATGGATGAATCACACAACCATGTTGGGCAAAAGAAGTCAGACCCAAACAACCTTATTCTACAAGGATTATATCACAAGAGCACATTTTAAAACATTCAAAGATACCCATATACTAAAAGAAGAATAAAATACATTTGATCAAATAATAGATATAATAACAACTTTAAATTGCAGGAATAAAGGAAAAGAGATTAAACATCCACTACTCAAATGAACTATTATAGTCTCTGCCCAACTGCAGTGGCAGGAGAATTCTCCACGTAGAAGAATGTAAGATCTATTGAGAAAAACACACTTGAGGGTATCAAGATAATCAACGAAGTTATAAATAACCCCTATTAGTATTTTTAAGGCTGTACATAAAAGCATGTCTCTGTATTCAAAACTACTGGACAATGAAATGGCATTCCTATATAAGCTCTTTAATACTCAGTAAAAATTAATCACAGAACTACCTAATGGCAACCCCGTTCCATCTGTGTAAACTTAGATTTTATACCAATTATAAAATTGATTCATTTTATCATGGAAAACTTTGTAAGGATCTACCTGAATTTTGAGGTCTCCTTTTATAATGCTTAGTCATCAGCATGTCTTTAGTTCTGGACTCAGAAATCTTATCCTAAAAGAAGTGTGAAATATTCAGTACATAAGTAAATACAATGCAAGCAGAAAAAAAATAAGCACGACCTGGTTGACCACAGCCTTAATGTAGACTCAGGCATTTAGAGCAGGCATTCTGACTGCAGACCTGGGACAGAACGAGAAGGGCCTACACTGATGATTCAGTTTTCAAATAATCACTGTGCCAACCATGATCTCCTCTGAAATTAAAGGAGCATCTGTCCATTTATACAACAAAAGAGTTGCAGTAAGTGGAAATCCAACTAGAAAAAGAAGCTGGATGAAAACCTCACACTTTATACAGCATAAATGCCCAAAAGTTCAAAAATTTTCAATAGATATAAATCAATATTAATAATGGAGACTTACAGTGCTAAAAATACCATTTTAATATCTTTATGCTGCTACATTTTAAGACCATGATTATGTTTAAAATAATTTTTAATTTAACTTGACACTTTCTCTCTGACCCACTGGTTATTTACAAGTATGCCAGTGCCTTTCCATAATTTGAGAATTTTCCAGATATATTGGTTATGATTAATAGTTTAATTCCGCCAGGCTCCATGAATGCACTTTGCATGGCTGTTATTCCTTTAAATTCGTTACTCTTTGCTTAAGGGCTCAAAATATCATCTACCTTAATGATAATTACTCTATGTTAACGTGACAATAATGTATTACACTTGTTGTGTAAAGTGTACTAGACATGTTAATTAGGTCAAAATTTTTGATCTTGTTATTCAAATAAACTGTTTCTTTACTGGTTTTCTGTCTACTTGCTCTGTAATTTATTAAATGAGGAGTATTTAAGTCTCTTATAACTAAGAATACATTGATCATCTTTTACCTCATGCATTTTAAAGTTCATTTGTTAGTTGCAGAGAAATAACATTTGTTCCAGCACAACCAGGCTACCTCAATTCTGGATGAAATATAGCACAGTATCACCAAAACAAAGCTAAGCACAATTGTGTGTCCAGAACGGACACTGGCTCGTTTACACACAGCCCTGGGGTGCTCTGAGTCCAGCAAAATACTGCTTCAGAGTCTCTTCTCCAGTCCTATAATGACCCTCTTCCCTTTGTGAGTTGCTCCTGGTCCCATTGTGTGAGCATTCCCTTACTGCAATAAACCAGTGAACCAGAATCTGTTAGCAACAGATTTAGTTGAGGTAGCCTAATTGTGCTGCAATAAATATTATTTTTCTGGATTTTGTGATGGTTATGGTGTTTATCAGCATTTTATAATGTGTAATTGTCTGTGATTTATTTTCTTTTCCTAAATAGACAATAACTTCTGTGCTTAGTTTTGTGTTGCTAATACTGTGAGTAGTAATACTAATACTGCTAGTTTTCATCTAGAGAGTCCCCTAAACCTTATAAGCTTCAGGCCCCACAGCACCTTGGTCCACCTAGAGTCCTTGGGTGAGTGTCACCCGCCCTGGAAAGACCACACTGGCTGACTTCTTCGTCCTCCCTTGACTCATCTCTCCTCTGCCACTGATTCATCTGTGTTGAGGTGAGAAGGTTTCTAACCTCTGCAGGTTCAATCTTTTGCCAATGACTTATGACATTATTTTTGCTAAAGGAACTCTTAAAGGGGTGTAATATTTCCAAAACTTGACCGGCTCAAGATCTTCCTTTACACGACTCCACATCCCCCATAGCTTCAGGACACAGCCAGTGCCCTTGGCTTGGTCCAGGAGATGAACCTGCTCACCCTCGGGCTCCCCCACTGCTGCCCACCTGGGGCGCAGACACTCAGGGAGAAGGTGGGGGAGCCTTGTGCACAGCCCCCAGCCCATCCCCACTTGCCCAAATATGGAGAGTTTTATCAGTAAAGGGACAAGTGAGAGGAAATCACTGTGTGTGGATGGTAGTTGCTTGTGTCAAACTGAGGCAAACCTGGAGCAGCTCCCTGCAGGGG